TGGAAGCCTGGGCTTCTTCTGGCGAAGGAGCGAGACCCAAGCCAACTGCTCGATGGCCATGAACATCATTGTGGCGAAGGCCCGGAAACCCTAAACCCTGTAAACCCTATAAACCCTATAAACCCTATAAACCCTATAAACCCTAAACCCTGACTAGTTACAGCACTGGCAAACAGATGCTCGGGCCAGCCACCAGAGGCCATGATCGTCATCAGTTGAGCCCTTGTACATCTTAGTTGGGACATGCACACTTTCATGACTACCTACATGGCCGAATAACTTTGTCCGGCAACGGACGGGTATTGCTGAAGAATGAGTCCTTCAGGTGTCCTACCTCCGCACAGAAGATCTCTAATTCATACAACAGGTTCAGCTGGCCAGGTATGAGTCGGTGATTTGGGTTTAGTAAGGGTTGAGGGGTTCAGGCTTTAGGGTTCGGCGTTTAGGGTTTAGGGGTTCAGGGGGTCTTGTGGGAACCTAACTTAGATTCAGGGGGCTTATAAGTGTCTAGGCATAGTTAGGCTGATAAGTACTCATGAACCTCCAAGTTCACAGCGGCCTCAGGATCTAGGGCTTTTCAGGGTGTAGGGTTTACGGCTTAACAAGGATTGGGGTTTAGGGTTTAGGGAAAACCGCCCTAATGAGGGCAAACCGAATTTCCCCTAAAGCGTGGGTGGGGAAACGAACAGGCTGAATTCAGGGCTCGCGGCCCAGAGATTTCAAGAGGGCCCTAAACCAAGCCATAAACCCCAAACCCTCAGCCCTCAAACCCCTCAACCCTAAACCCCATGAACCCTAAACCCCAACCCCTCAACCCTAAACCCGAAAGCCCTCAACCATAAACCCCTCAACCCTAAACCCTTCAACCCTAGAGCCTAGAAACCCTAAACCCCTCAACCCTAAACCCTAAACCCTTCAACCCTAAACCCTCAACCCTTCAAACCTTAACCCTCAACCCTAAACCCCTCAACCCCGCAACCCTAAACCCCCCAACCCTAAACCATTAAACCCTTCAATCCTAAACCCTAAACCCCTCAACCCTGAACCCCCAAACCCCTCAACCCTAAACCCAAAACCCCTCAACTCTATAAATCTTCACACGGAGTCAGAGCACCTCTACTTTGGAGTAGACCCCGCAAAAAAAAGTATATACTTTTTGGTATAAGTAGCTAAAATAGGAACCCAGAAGCAAAAAAACTCTAAACCCTAAACCCTAAACCCTAAACTCTAAACCCTAAACCCTAAACCCCTAAACCCAGGTGCCTCCTGCATGCATCCCCAGTCTGGTCGAGGGCTCACTTGCCTGGCGTTGGGCTCTGAGAGGGTCCTGATAGAGGAGGGTTTTGGGTTTAGGGTTTAGGGTTTAGGGGTTTAGGGGTTTAGGGTTTGGGGTTTAGGGTTTAAAGTTTAGGGGTTTAGGGTTTAGGGTTATAGAGTTTAGGGGTTTATGGTAAGTTCTGAAAATTATGGTCCCTTTTGGGGTTCCCTAAATGGGCCGCCTTAGAATCGTAACCCCAAACGGGACCACATTTTGGAGAAGTGGCCTTCTAGGAAGGCTTAGGCAGGGTTTAGGGTTGGGGCTTCAGGGTCTTGAGGGATTTGAGGGTTTTGAGGGAGGGTTTTGAGGGTTTTGAGGGTTTTGAGGGTTTTGAGGTTTTCAGGGTTTGGGGTTTCGGGCTTTAGGGGCTTTAGGGGTTTTAGTAAGGTTGGGGATGCAGGGTTTATATCATCAAAGGCACAACCTCACCGGTTTAGGGTTTAGGGTTTAGGGTTTAGGGTTTAGGGTTTAGGGTTTAGGGTTTAGGGTTTAGGGTTTAGGGTTTAGGGTTTAGGGTTTAGGGTTTAGGGTTTAGGCCCCTCACACGGTATGAAGATGTAAGCTTTTCGAGGCAGAAGAAGGAACTTGCAGGGTTCCGGGCTCAGGGTTTAGGGTTTGAGGTTTAGGGTTTAGGGGCTAGGGTTTAGGGTTTAGGGTTAGGGTTTAGGGTTTAAGAAGCCCTTTATCCTAAACCCTAAGCACGTAGGAACCGAGGGCTCTAAAACAAGGCCGCTGCCGGCCACGACTTCCTACAAGTGGGGCCTATGGTTCTAGGACAAACCCCGATCTCTTGAAGGGTTTAGGGTTTAGGGTTTCGGGTTTAGGGCTTACGCTGGTTTGATACAGTGCAGTGTAGGGGCCCTCGCCAGCAAGAAACGCAGATTAGGTATGGTTCGCAAGGCCTTTGCACATGATGAACCTCTGGACGCTCAACCACCATACTGTCATTCCTTAAGGCATGGACCTCCTAAATGCCTGTTCGAACCACAAAGAGCATGACATCTGCCATATTTTTAAGGCGGAACGAAAACAACAACACAACTCCAACGACAAGGACCCGCCCCAAACCCTAGACCCTCAACCCCTGATACCCTAACCCCAAACCCCAAACCCCAAACCCTAAACCCAAACACCCAAAAGCCCCCGCAACAAAAATGCCAAGAGCCACAGGTTCAGCTGCGGGGTGGGTAAGCCAAAGCGCAGGTCCTGAGGGCTTAGAGGGTTTGTGGGGGGTTTGGGGTTCCCTTAACCCTAAACCCTAAACCCTAAACCCTAAACCCTAAACCCTAAACCCTAAACCCTGAACCCTGAACCCTAAACCCTAAACCTGAAACCCTACACCCTAAACCCTGGTTTAGGGTTTGGGGGAGGGCAAGGAGAAGCTTCCGCAGCTTGCGCAGACTCTGAAGGCTGCGGGACTTTCGAATTTTAGGGTGGTTGAGAATTTGGGTTCGGGTGGATGGAAATCGGCCGTCGGTGCGCAGAGCCTAGGGTTTAGGGTTTAGGGTTTAGGGTTTAGGGTTTAGGGTTTAGGGTTTAGGGTTGAGGGTTTAGGGTTTAGACACCCAAAGCATACCCTCTCACGAATACTCACACAGGGACCTATAATATACCCTCACCAAGACAGTAATCTTAGGCCAGCGCAGACCTCAAACCACGAGAGACCATGAAAGCCAGAAGTCCAAAATCACCCTGGTTTACGGTTTAGGGTTTCGGGTTTAGGGCCGAAGAAGTGTGGCACGCAGTCTTCATGCCACCGTGCACGTAGAAGAAGTCGGAATCATGAGAGCCCAAAGCTTCCCATACCTCCTACTTGAAGAATCTATCCTTAAGCCGAAAGGTATCCTTAAACCCAAGACCCTCGGGAATTCCGGTCTTAAGGAACAGATTCCTAAACTTTACTAGGACTTACCAAACGAGCTGAGTTAGACAGGGATATCCCTAAGGTGTCCTTGAACCCAAGACCCTTCAATCTCCGGGATGGAACCGAATGTTTTCTAAAGTGCTTGTGAACCCAAAAACCCTAAACCCTAAACCCTAAACCCTAAACCCTAAACCCTAAACCCTAAACCCTAAACCCTAAACCCTAAACCCTAAACCTAGCTCATCTCTCGCCGAGCTGCCAATGGCAAGAGGAAGTCGCCAAGTTCTTTCAGGAGCGCCTAGCTTTTGAGGCTTTAAGGTTTAGGGTTTAGGGCTTAAGGTTTACGGTTTAAAAAGGGTCTAGGGGCTTTTGAGGCTTTAAGGTTTAGGGTCTAGGGCTTAAGGTTTACGGTTTAAGTAGGATCTAGGGTTTAAGGTTGAGGCTTTTGAGGGTTTAAGGTTTAGGGCTTTTGGGGCTCAGGGCTCTGGGCTTCGCGCTGAGGGCCCTTGGGTTGAAAAGGATCAGGGCTTTGTGGTCTATTGCTGCGGAACTGTATGGAATAAAAGGTTTGCAGCCCGCAGCAGCCCCAGATCCCAAACCCTAAGAGCCAGCAATTCTATGAAAGCAGAAGCGCTAGTAAGTTTCGTTGCGGGCCCCTGGGATGTCGCGCTTAAGGCTCGACCCGAAACCTCACCCCCAACCTCCCCTCCCCCCCAGAAAAAAGAAAAAAGAAAAAACAAAAACAGAATGGCGCACAATTCCTTAAAGATGCTGCAAAAAATGGCATGGACACATTGGTCATACCTAGGCCGGGGGGGGGGGGGGGGGGTTGAGGTTCTGGGTTCTTGAAGCCTAAACCCTAAACCTTGAACTCCAAGCCTAAACCCCATGGATTCGTAAAAACCAGTAGACCCTGCAAACCCTATAAACCCATAAACCCTGCGAACGACGCAAACCCCGAAAACAACTATGTGAACCCTATATAAACGCTATCAACCAATAAATCCTTAGAACCCTATAGACCCTATAAACCCCATACACCCTATAAACCCCATCACGAACCCCTTAAACCCCAGAAATACTAAACCCTACAAACCCTAAACCCTACCCTAGACCCTAAACCCTAGACCGCAAACCCTAAACCCCAAACCCTAAACCCCAAATCCTAAACCCCAAATCAAAATCTAAAACCCCAAGCCCTAAACCCCAAACACCAAACAACAAATCCCAAACCCCAAACCCTAACCCTAAACCCCAAACCCTAAACACCCTGAACCCCAAACACCCTAAACCCTAAACCCTAAACCCTAAGCCCATTTCCGCTATGGGCTGGTGGCCTTCGCCTTCTCAGTGAGCACGGACCGGGCGTGCTCCTCTTTGATCCTGGCGGCTCCAACCAGAGGAGTTTAAGGGTTTAGGTTTGAGGGTTTAGGGTTTCGGGTTTCGGTTTCGGGTTTAGTTGGAGGTTCAGGAACCTCATAATCCCATGATAACTACACTTGTTGCCCAAACTATTCACCAAATTAGGGCACGTGGAAGGGACTTAGAAAGAGTAGTACGGCTATCATCGGGTTCTTAAGCACCTCGAACCTCCAAGTAGGGTCATCCACCCCCCCAACTCAACGCATGGGACCCAAACCCTAAACCCTAAACCCTAAACCCTAAACCCTAAACCCTAAACCCTAAACCCTAAACCCTAAACCCTAAAACCTAAACCTAAGCCCTAAACCCTAAACTCTAAACCCTAAACCCTAAACCGCCCAGCTGGTCTTCATCCCTCAGGGCCCCCAACAAACCTTTGTAACCTTTTATCACCTTTTACATCCTCAAAAATCTTTGCAACCCTAACCCCCCCCCCCCCCCCCAAAAAAAAAAAGAACATTAAACAACATACAAAGCCGTTTAAAACCCCAACGTCTCCATAGGGTTAGGAGCTTAGGGTTTAGGGGTTTAGGGGTTTAGGGTTTTAGGGGTTTAGGGGCTTAGGGGGTTGGGGGTTTAGGGTTAGGGGAGTGTAGGGCTTAAGGCCCGAGTCCAAAACGACACGGGGTCAGTAGCCTGCCTTGTGGCTCGCTGTGTTGGCGAATCGAGGGTCGACTCGGCGCGGTCGCCAGGGACCTGGCGATGCAATACTGCCCAAGCCCGAACTCGGGTTTAGGGTTTAGGGTTTAGGGTTTAGGGCTTAGGGTTATTTATGGGATTTTGGCTTCAGGTTTAGGCTTCCCTAAGACCAGACCTTTCTGAGGTTGAGTCAACTGGGGATTAACAAGGCTTAGGGCCCGAGAGTTGAGGGTCTCGGGTTCGCAGGGTTTACTGTACCCTAAACCATAGCCCTAAACCCTAAACCCTAAACCCCCAAACCCTCAACCCTCAACCCTCAACCCTAAACCAAACCCTAAACCCTAAACTCTGAACCCTGAACCCTAAACAAAACCCTCAACCATCAACCCTCAACCCTCAACCCTAAACCAAACCCTAAACCCTAAACGCACCCTAAACCCTAAACCCTATTCACTAAACCCTAAACCCTAAACCCTATCAAGAGCTTTAGGGCTTTGCGCCTTAAGGTCACAACGCGCGGACGCCTCGTTGCGACTCAGCAGCAGCTCGCAGAGCTCTGTGTGCAGGTCCAGCCTTATGTGGGGTTTAGGGTTTAGGGTTTCGGGTTTAGGGTTTAGGGTTTGTGGTTTTAGGGTTGAGGGTTTGGGGTTTAGGGTTTAGGGTTTAGGGGTTGTTGTTGTCTTAGGGTTAGGGCTTAGGGTTTAAGGGTTGTGGTTTTCGGGTTTAGGGTTTAGGGTTGTGGGTTTAGGGTTTATAGGGTTTGGGGTTCGGGGTTGTGGGTTTTAGGCTTTAGGTTTAGGGGTTCTGAGTTTTAGGGTTTAGGAATTCGGGTTTAGGGTTAGGGTTTAGGGGTTGTGGGTTGTGAGGGAGGGTTGTTGCCTTTTCGGTCTTTTCCGCCTTTTCCACCCTTGCCACAACCTTTCGTCTCGGCTCCTTTCTGCTCCTTCTTGAGAGTCCAGCAGTCTTTCTTGCGATACCCTTTCTTTCCACAGTGCTCGCACAAGACTTCGGTGTTCAAAGCCCTCGAAGACGCCGCTGGCGTTTCGCAAAGACGAAGTTGCTTCTCAAAGTACCACAAACTCTCGGTCAAGTCGTTCCACGAACCAGCTTTTTTGGCCAGTGTGTCGGCGAGTTCGATAATGGCATCCCCCGTGTGGCCCGCACGTGCCTCCATGAAATGCATTTGCCGCGTGTCTGTAGCAAGTGGCTCATTTGGGCAGTGACCTTTGTCAGGTGATTCAGTGGGTGACTTGTACGGACCCCTTCTGCTACCTCAGTCGCACTGACACAGTCAAAGCACATGGTGTTGTTTAGGGTTTAGGATTGAGGGTTCTCCCTCGCAGCCCGGGAAGCTTTTTGTCCTTACCCCCCCCAAAAAAAATACCCCCCACACCGCGCAAACTCATGGACCATAGGCGGTTTCGCACAGGGCATAGGGGCTCTTTTGGTTTTCCCCCTACCTCCCCCTTGCCCCCCCCCTTCCCCCCCCCTTCCCCCCCCCTTCCCCCCCCCCTTCCCCCCCCCCCTTCCCCCCCCCCCTTCCCCCCCCCCCCACCCCCCCACCCAGACCCGAACCGCAAACCCAATCCACCAAACCCAAACTTGTTCTCCTGCGGGGTCGGCGGCTTGAGCCGGAGGCTCTTAAATCATAACAATCAGGGTGCCTTCGAGCCTCAAAAAAGAGGTTTGAGAAGACCCGGAAAAAAAAACCCAAAAGAGATCAAAGAGACCCCAGCATCCCTTCACCGGGGAATCTTCCCTAACATAGCAAGGGGGAATCCTAGGCTTAGAGTCTTGAGGTGGCTTTCTGGAAAATGAAGTTCAGAAGCATTTCTTAATGAAGGAAAGTTAGAGTCTCTGGGAGAAGCGAGTTTCTGGGGGTGAGCTATAGGGTTCCCATGAAGCGGGGTACCTTTTGGGATTTGCAGGTTAAGCCAAACTTTCCACTAGACCCAAGAGTAACCCAGGAATAACAAGGGCACCCTTTTTGGTTTAAAGAGGCTTAGAAGGGAACCAAAACCCCAATAAAAAGTGAAAGAAGTGCCTACTCTGGGTCCTAGTCTAAGCCAGGTGGCGGATCATCAGGACGCTGGAATTCAAGAACGAGCTCGCCCCGGCTGTCTCGCAGCACGCCTTTCGCATACTTGTCCTAAACCCCAAGCCCTAGCTCTAAGGGTAGTTATGGACCCCTTATATGCGCCCGTGCTCCGCGATACCATGGGGGGGGGGGGGGGGGGGGGGGGGGGGGGGGGGGGGGGGGGTGCGCTTATGCTGGCGCGTATGCACCCACCTATATATCCTTGTACAAACTAAGGGCCCGAACATCAGAACCCTTTAAGGGAGGTAAGGGGCCACATTAAGGGCCCATGAAACTACCCTTAGACCTAAATCCTCTTAAAAACCCTATAACCCTGTCGAAAGAGAAGTCTGTCGTGTGTAGAGGAATGAGAAGGGAGTTCTAGTCCTTAAGCATGATCCCGAAACCCCCTCAGCCGAAAAACCCTCAACGATCCAACAACAAAACTCGTAGACGTAGCTTCACGGCACGCCCTCATGCTTGTCATCCTAAACCCTAAACCCTAAACCCGAAACCCGAATCCCGAAACCTCACTACTCCCCCTCCCCCGGCCACCAACTTCGAGTTGAGTCAGGGAGGGGAACTCTGCGCCCCGAACCTTCCTAAAGCTTCAAAGCCCTAAGCCCCTGCACCCCCACAAGTAAGCGCCAATAAGGGCCGAAGGGAAGGGACCCTAAACCCTAAGCCCTAAGCCCTAAACCCTAAACCCTAAACCCTAAACCCTAAACCCTAACACACACCTTAATATCAAGGAGAGCTTTGTGGGGGCGACTCTTGGCGCACTTTTGGGGGGTTTAGGGGTTAGGGCGAAGAGCCCGCAAGCCCTGAACCCTTGAAAGGAGGCTTATAAGGCATGTAAGGCGGGCGCGTAGGGCCAGTGCATCCTGGGGAAAGCGCAAGACTTGGACCAACTTCGTAACCCTAAACCCTATGAACCCTGATCCTTCAAGCATATAAACCCTGAAGCAACCCTAAACCCGATGAACCCGATGAACCCGATGAACCCTATGAACCCTATGAACCCTATGAGCCTATGAGCCCTATGAACCCTCAACCCTAAACCCTAATCTCTGAACCCTAAACTTTGCCTACAAAACCCTAAACCCTATACGAACCCCACGAGCCCTATACTCTCTCCTGCCTCCCTTCCCGAAGCGCTTGCGGCTCAGCCGGGCGAGGAAGGTCTCCGCGAACTCTGTCGGAGCTTCGTCAATACTCGTGCCTGGCAGCGTTCCGACACAGCAGGCTTAGTGGTTAGGGTTTGAGGATGTGTATTACATGGATTAGCAGGGCCTGTTATGTAGGACAATTATGCTGCTTAGGCAGGTTCCTGTCTGAAACCTTTCTGAAACTAAAACATTAAGCTTGGGATCTTTGTGAATTGATGGGTGTGGGGTCTCAGCTGAGCAAGTAACCTTGCTCAATTGTTCTGGTCAGACCTGGTCTAACCCTAAACCCTCAACCCTACACCTCAGAGTTTCGGGTTCAGAGCCCTAGACCCTACACCCTCATTAAACCCGAAGTAAAGACGCTTCAGCCCGAAGCCTCAAGCTGAAACACGAGGAACATACTCATGAACGTCGAGGCTTCATCGTCTAAGCATCTCAGCAGGACACAAACTTGCAGCTTGTCGTGTTCCCATGGGAAAGGGGATGCAGTATTCCCTACGGACATCGAAAAAGGCACCATGATGTCGAGCATGGGTTGGTGAAAGTAGGATGCCCCCGAGGTGTGAAAACCTACAGCCCGGGAAAAGTTGCTTTGCAAGGAAGCCCTGCCAACGAAAGCTATGTTTTTTTTTTTCTCCGAGTTGTGCCCCTCAAGTAGGCACCATTACTTGAAGGATCAAGGGGACTTAGTAGGTGGGGTTACAAGTACTACACGTGTAAATTTCTTCTAAGCCCAAGCAAGATACTTATATAGCCCTACTTACTAAGTGCGCCGATCCTCAAGTATTTGGCAGGCCAAGTGGACTCAGCCGGGCGTGTGGGACTCAGATACTTGCAGACCCTGCAGTTCAGCCTTCAGACCGGCAGGTAATTGGGGTTCAGGGTTTAGGGTTTAGGGTGACTTCCACAAGCAATAGACTCCAAACTTAATCCCCCCAGCCCAGTCGAAACCCTAAGCGCTAATTAAACCCCTAACGCTCAGAGCCCTAAGCCCTGTAATCGCACACCCTGGCCTAGACCCCTCGAAAAACCCTGAGCCAAACAGACCGAAACCCCTGGCAAACCCCCAAAACGCTACACCCCTACAGAAATCCGACACCCTGAGCCCTAATCCCTAAACCCTTATGAACCCTAAACCCTAAACAATAAACCCTAAACCTTAAACCCAAAACCCAAAACCCAAAACCCTAAACCCTAAACCCTAAACCCTGCCTGGCGGCACATACCGGATCTGGTCCAGCACTGCGCCTGCGGGCACCCAGCGGCCAGCGATCTTCGCCGGCCGGGGCAAGGCCTGCAGACGCAGGGTTTAGGGTTTAGGTTTATAGGGTTTAGGGTTTAGGTTATAGGGTTTAGGGTTTAGGGTTAGGGTTTAGGATAGGGTTTAGGGTTTAGGTCTTGGGGTTTAGGGTCCTAAGCCCTGAATCCAAAAGGGCTATTAGGGTTATTGGGGTTAGAAGGGTTTAGGGCAGGGGCTTCGGGGGTCCGGAAGCCCGAAGCCCTGAACCCAAAAGGAAGGGTTTCGGGTTTCGGGAGTTTCGGGTTTCGGGTTTCGGGTTTAGGGTGTAGGGTGTAGGGTTTAGGGTTTAGGGTTTAGGGTTTAGGGTTTAGGGTTTAGGGTTTTCAAAAGACATCGACTTCGTAGCCTTGAAATCCCAACCTGCGCTCAACAACCCTCCAAGAAGCCAGGCACGTACTGGGTTTAAGGCAGAACTAGCTTCTTTTTGTTCACAAACCCCAAGCCCTAAACCCTAAACCCTTTTTCTCACCTGAACCCGAAATCTCAGACCCTGAATCCTCTACTTCTAAAACCTTACGAAGCCCAAAACTGTTACACCCTGAGCTTTCCAAAACCTGTGCCCCGAAACCGTAAACACGTAAATCCTAAACCCGGAACTTGTAAACCCGAAACCCTGAGCCCTAAACCCTAAACCCTAAAGCACCCCCGAGCTCACACCTCCAAAGCGTATGCAGACTCGGCCGATGGGGGCGGCCAGGAAGCCGATACCCTGCACCCGGGTTGCATGGGGTTTAGGGTTTAGGGTTTAGGGTTTATGGTTTAGGGTTTTGGGTTTAGGGTTTAGGGCTTAGCGTTTCGGTTTTCGGGGTGTGTAGGGTTGTGGGGTTTTAGGGCGTGGGGACAGTTTTTTGTTGGGACATTTTAGCGGGCTTTGCTACCTAGTGAAATTTTAGGGGTTATAGGTCATAGGGTTTAGGGTCCCGAGGTAGTCCATGAATATGCATGTACAGTATATATATATATTTTCATATATAGGAGGGGATGTATCGCACCTGATGAACTCCACTCAGTCTGAGGCAGAATCCTACACCCAGACCCCCAAACAAGCCCTAAACCCTGCCTAGCGTAATCTATGTACTGTGTACGGGGTTAGGGTTTAGGGTTTAGGGAAGAGCCTAGGCAAAAAGGTGGCTTATTTGTGAATATTTGCCCTTGCTTTAGCTTCCCTCAAACTTGAACTGAAGCGTAGACAGCTCCTCGTTTTTACGAAAAAAGGACTCCTATATACACCCAATACAAACCAGAAAGCTTAAACCCGACACCCTCTCCGCACAAAACTTAAACAGCCCTTGAACCCTAAACCCCGAAACCCACTGCCACAGCCTTGACACACGTGACGGCCGCGAGGCGGTCGAGATGCGAGACTTCGTGGCTTCCTGGGGGATGTTGGGGATTTCGGGGGTTTGGGGTGGTTATTAGGGTTAGGGTGCTTGCAGACTTTATCGCCTACAGGCGCATTGATGGGGTTGAAGGCTTAGGGCTTTCTGACTATGACTTAAGCTATAGACTTCTTCTACTACTTTCCAACAGAAGAGGCACCCATTAGCCTACTCTAAACTAGGCACCTCTCTGTAGATGATGTTGTCATGCGCACCCTTAAAAAAAGTACAAGCAAACACGTGAAAGGTCGAGCATCTTGAGTGCTATAGACTCTGGACCTTGAAGCGTTTCGAGGTTACCCTCAACCCCTAAACCCTAAGCCCGAAAGTCCCTCAGAGCTTGGGAATTAGGATCTAAGCCATAGTCTTAGCCCCTAAACCCTAAACCCTAAACCCTAAACCCTAAACCCTAAGCCCTAAGCCCTAAACCCTAAACCCTTCTTTCAGCAACCCACACTCCTGCCTCGAAGGATGCAGGGTCCACGCCCGCCGAGGTGCTTGATACCGTTGAGATCCTTCCAGCCAAGAAGAGGTTTAGGGTTTAGGGTTTAGGGTTTAGGGTTTAGGGTTTAGGGTTTAGGGTTTAGGGTTTAGGGTTTAGGGTTTAGGCATCATTGAGCGCATGGCTAGGAGGTCGGCGCTTCATGGTTCAGTTCCATCTGCAGGACATCTACAGGGTGGGGCCCCCTTACTATACTAACTGTAGTTAAGGGACTTATAACCTAACTTAGGGTCCTTATAACCCAATTTAGGGCCCTTATAACTCTACTTATAACTAGGGGGCCCCACCCTGTACCACAATAGTTCACTGAAAGCTGTGCGCATTCCTAGGCTGCCCAGTGACCTAGGATGAGAAAAGGGTGCCCCTTTTTTGCTTAAAGGGGTTTATAAGGGAACCTAAACCTACCAAAAAGGGAAAAAATGGTACTACTGGGCATCCTAGATTCTTACTCTTACTCCTTCAGAACTCTACCCATGAGCCTTAGCCGCCTTGACGGAAACTTGACCGGAGTCAGAAGCTGCCACAGCGCAAACTCAGGCCTAAAACCTTACAAGTTGTACAGGCATCTAGAAGCCCTACTAAACCCTAACCCTAAACCCTAAACCCTAAACCCTAAACCCTAAACCCTAAACCCTAAACCCTAAACCCTAAACCCTAAACCCTACCTTGTATCCTAGGGCTGCCGGATACAACCAAAAAAACTCCACAACTAATCAAAAGTAACCTGCAAACCGGAAACACAACCACCCTCTGATACTTCTGGCCTCAACATCCCGTAAGCATCTAAGCACCAAAAATACCTCTGAACCTGACCCTAAATCCGAGACCCCTGAAACTCGATCTAAACCCCTAAAACCTGAACCCTACACCCCTTCTTTCCTAAACCCCCTAGACCTTGAACCGCGCCCTTCTAAAGCCCCCCTCCAAACCCGGAAACCCCCTAAACCCCCTAAACCCTGAAGCCGAAACCCTAGCCCTAAACCCTAAAACCCAAATAGGGGGTCCGATGTATGGGCCCTTAATTAGGGTCCCCTGTTATATACCCCCTTACATACACCATACATAATAAGGGCGCATACTTCGGATCCCCTTCGATACCTTCAACAAGGGTAAAGGGACCATACTAAGGGCGCATGGTTCCAGCCTTCTCTTAGTTGTCCAGTAACCTAGGGGAACTATAAGATAACCTTTGGGATTTTATAGGGATAAGAATACCCCAAAAAGGTTAAAGGTTATCTACTCTACTACTAAGGTGTACTAAACTCGAAACCACTCAAAGCCTTTGGATCCCGGCCTCTTCGAGCCCTCATCGTCGTCGCTCCGTGGACTGGGCGCGCACGTTTGGGCTTGGCATTGGGCAGCTTGGGGTTTGTAAGGGTTTAGGGCTTTGGGATTGGGGTTTGGGGTTTGGGGTTTAGGGTTTGGGGTTCAGGGTTTAGGGTTTGGAGTTTTGGGTTTGGGGTTTAGGGTTTGAAGGTGTCAGCTTGGAGCATGAGTTTTAGGGCGTAGGCTCTAGGGTCTCTATAGGGCTTCAGGTCTTTAGGGTTTAGGGCTTGCGGATCGCGGGTGTAGGGCGTAGGGTTAGGGGTAATGTAAATGCCAGACCAAGAGCAACCTAGAACAAAAAAAGGCTGCCCTTTTTGCAAAAAAAAAATACGGGCCTACACCGGGTCCTAGAACAGCGTTGCGCTTGAGTTGTCCGGAGCTGGGGTTGTCTAATCATTCCGCGGAGTCGGGCTTCTGCCTCACAAGCTTACCCCTAAAGGGCTCCCTTAGCATGCTCCTAATATGGCCGCCGCAATTCTTTGGGGATCTTACTTTCAAAGGGCCGAGGCCAAGGCAAAATCTCATGATCTATACTGTTTGGAGTTTGGTATGGAGCCCACGGTAAAACCAGCAAGCTAGCTGTTGGGATCTTTGGGGCGTTTAATACGACTCTAAACCCTACGGTGCCCTAGGCTCTAGACCCTAGAAACTCCTAAATCCCTAAACCCGTAAACCCCAAACCCCTAGACCCTAACCCCATAGGGTATCCCAGAGGGGCGGGATGGTGTCAGCGATTCCATGCTTACAATGCCACTGCCATAGTGGCAATCACAGTAGGTTTAGGGCTTACGGTGTTCCAGGCCGGGTTTAGGGAGTTACAAGATAGATGGCGTGGACCGGGTACCTCAACCCAAAATGGGGGGGGGGGGGGGGGGGGTGAGGAGGGTGTAACCACACACCTTGCGGATCTGAGGTTCGGTCTCCATGGCCCGCATAGGTTGCCCTAAACCCTAAACCCTAAACCCGAAACCCGAACCCTAAACCCTAAACCCTGGTTCAAAAAATATGGTTCTGGTTTCCGGGTCTAGGGTAGGGTCACCAGAAGTATGATCCCTTCAGTGGGGCGGGAGCGTGCTTTGGAGATGAACCCATCGACGAATCCACGCCCAGCGGACGGACGCCGCCCCGTCGATGATGACGAGAAGAGTTCTCGGCGTCCAATCCTTTTCTTCCGATTCCGTCGCCGACGCAGCACGGCGAATAGCATGCGGATTGATTTCGCCGGACGCCTGATAAGTGCGCCTGGCGAGGATTCCGGAGAGGCCGACAGGCGTGTAGGCCTTGGACGCCGTATGCTCATGCCAGATATGTTCCAGGATCTCCTCGGCGCCGAGCAGGGTCTGCGTGGGGAACTTGCGGGGCTCGCCGTCAAGCAGCCCGGAGTTGTAGCTCTCGACCTGCGCCTGCCAGGCGACGAAGGTCTTTGGCGGCTTCTCGTCCGCCCTCGGCGCCGTCGTGGGAGGGTTGGCCATCGGTTCCGGTTAAAGTATGGAGGCATACTCTACTATTTGCTCAAGAACTGCTTCCTGTCGTTTCATGTTTTGGGGTTTTTGTTTAAGCAAATAGTGGTATTACAGGTACACAAAAAGGAACCATCACGCGGAGAACTGCCCGCATGCAACCTAGTGCAAAAAAGGGTAGTTCCAACAGGGTCACACAGCCCTTGCAATGAGCATCTGTGAGCCTAGCTAAAGCACCACGTCCGGCCACAATTCTCCTTCAAACCGGAAACCCTTAACCCTAAACCCCAAAACGCCCACAACCCTAATCCCTAATATCAAGGGACTACAGGAGGGACCCTTTAGTCCGTTTTGAGGGACCTCTGGGGGTAATTGGGGGGTTAGCCTCTCGACCCTGTCTCGTTCGGATTGCCGCCCGGCGACTGTTCGCTGCAGCGGGCGCTAAAGGCGCCAAGCCTTTGCAGGGCTTCAAAGGACAAACCCTAAAGAAGCAGGGCTTCAGAGGGCGTTCTGTGTGGGTTGAGGGCTTGGGTTTTGGAAGGCTTAGGGGGTGCTTAGAGTTTAGGGTTTATGGGTGCACAGCGTTGAGGTGTTTTTTGGTTTTAGGGTGTAGGGTCTGGGATTAGGGTTTGGGGCTTACAGGGTCTATAGAGGCATTGGGGGTTTATAGATGCTGAGTTGAAGGTTCACCTTACTTGTTGGGATTGCACTTTGTGTTCAGTAGCCAATTCCGATCGGTGCTATAGGGCTGTGCACTGAGCAGACCCTACACCTTGGGAGCCTGCAAGTCCCTTGAGGGTGTGAGGCCTTGGGAGTGTGGGGTTTAGGGTTTAGGGTTGAGGGTTGAGGGTTTAGGGTTTAGGGTTTAGGGGGAGATCCTTGCGGCGAGGCACTGTCTCAAAGTCGTGCGCAGTAGCTTCTGATCCGCGCAAGGCACCGTGACCCTGTCAGGATTGCAGCGGTTGAGGGTTTAGGGTTCTGCCCTAAACCCTGAACCCGGAACCCTAAAACCTAACCCCCAAACCATGAACCCCAAACCCTACCTTACCTGACCCTTCAGAGTTTTCAGCTTTCCGCGCTTAGCAATGTCTGAAGAGAGGGATTCGTGCTAAGGCCTTCGTGTTGAGAGTTGAAGTCCTGCTGTCAGGAAGCTGCTGGTGTTTAAACCTGAACAGACCCCGAAACCCTAAGCCCTAAACCCTAAACCCTAAACCCCGGATCCTTACTGAACTAACAATGGGGACGGGTGCTCTTATAGCCTTCACTGCTAGCGGCTCTTCAGGTTTGTAGACGACATATCCCAGCCCGATTCTTGTGTTCAAAACCCTGGGTTTGGGGTTTAGGGTTTGGGGTTTAGGGCTTGGGGGCTTGGGGTTTAGGGGTTTAGGGTTTCGGGTTAGGGTTTCGGGCTGAGGGTTTGGGTTTAGGGTTTAGGGCTTGGTGTTTAGGGTTTGGGGTTTAGCGCTTGGGGTTTGGGGTTTAGGGTTTGGGGTTTAGGCGAGACGTGCCCAGGAATCTCATCAAGTCCTGACTTCAATTACTTGCGCAAAGCCTCCCCAAAGGCTCCCTGCCTCAAGCCTTCGAGCCCTAATTCCGAAAACCCCCAGGTCTAGGTTGCTCAGTAACCTGAGCATGCAACGGGAACAAAAAAGGTACCCTTCTTGGCTTAAAGGGGCTTATAAGGGAACCTGAACCTCCCCAAAAAAGGGAATGAGGGCCTACTCCGGGTCCTAGCCCTAAACCCTAAACCCTAAACCCTAAACCCTAAACCCTAAACCCTAAACCCTAAACCCTATCTCTAAACCCCCAAACCCCAAAGCACTGTGTACAGCACCTCAAAGCCCCCAAAAGCCACCAAACCCCCGACGACCGCATCCCAGGCCGGGTTACCGGATACGGCCCCGGAGGTCACCACCGCGTCGTAGGCATCCAGGTGCCATGCCTCCAAACCCTAAACCCTAAACCCTAAACCCTAAACCCTAAACCCTGAGGCCTAAGGCCTAAGGCCTATAGGGTTTTCGGTTTAGGAATTGGGGTTAGGAGGCGTAGGTCCTGGAGAGCGTTGGTGCTTCTAGCCCAAGCTGTAAAAAAAATGAACCCTACTTGACACCCCCTCATGAACCCTACACCCTAAACTCTACACCCTGAACCCTACACCTGGTTTAGGTTTCCTGGTTTGGGATTTAGGACTCAGGAGGGCCCCAGAGCAGTCAGGAAAGGCATACCCAAACTGTCCAAAGCTTATACTTAAGCCCCAAACCATCCTACGTAGTGGCCTTTGTAGCCCGAAGCCCCACACCCCGAAGTATCGTGCATAGTGATCTCCGAAACCATCTTTTGGACGGAATAGTAGGCAAGTATTTGGGGCACCCCTCATTACAACACCCTCGATTCTAAAGCCTCAAACCCTTAAGGCCCATTGACACAAACCCACCCTAAACCTTAAGTTTCCCCTAAACCCAAAAATCCGAAACCTTAAGCCCGAAACCCTAAACTCAAGAGTTGGGCCGCCTCCCTACAATGAAGGGGGGGGGGGGGTTGGCGGCGCCTAAGCCTGACCTCGATGGCGCAAGCCGACCCAGGTCACCCGCCCGCCTCCCACACCCTGTTTTGCTGCCTGAGACGGTGTGGGGTTTGAATAAACCCTAAACCCTAAAGCCTAAACGCTAAACCCTAAACCCTAAGCCCTAAACCCTAAACCCTAAACCCTAAACCCTAATAAAAATGTCAGATGGCCCTCCAGGACCAACCATAATCGGGCCATGGCTGCTCTTCGCATGTCATGAAGCTTGCGCAGCTGCCCCATAATTATTCTGGCAATCCCTAAACTCTCAATTATTCTGGCAATCCCTAAACTCTCAACCCCCAAAGCCCTAAACCCTAAACCTTAAACCCTAAACTGGAAACCCCAAACCCTGAACCCCAAACCCCCCCCCCCCCCCAGCCGAAAACCTACGCTCTGGCCACCTCTTGGCAAGCCCAGGCTTGCGAAGCCAGCGAAGCTGACCTGAGAATTTAGGGTTTAGGGTTTAGGGTTTAGGGTTTAGGGTTTAGGGTTTAAGGTTGAGGCTTTAGGGTTTAGAGTTTAGGGTATAGGGTTTAAGGTTTAGGGTTTAAGGTCTAAGGAGAGCGGGGTTCAGCAATTTAAAGTTTAGGGGTGAGGGTCTCGAGATGAGTAGACTGGACTGGGTTCGATGTACTACAACTTGGGAACGAAGTCCACAAAATATGGCTGGTGTGATTCTCTAGTCTATATCCGAATATACCATATGTTGTAAGGATGTGCTCACTTGCATCCCCAAATAACGCCCCGTACACACTCACAAATCTATCGATACACACCAATAACAGCAACAAAGCCCTTCTCCAGAGAGTCTTCATACCTAGCTGTTGTGCTCCGGGGGAAACCCGAAACCCAAACCTCGGAGCCCCAGATGGGGGGGGGGGGGTGTTCCCAATATCAGGCGTGCCGTGATGACTTGAGAAAGGGGGCGGCATAAGTACTACTAGTATTCCCTCAAGGTCCCTTCATAATTCTACCGTCATAACCCCCCCCCACCAAAAAAAAAACAAGACCCTACATTACAGTTTTTTTTACCGGAGGAGAGAGGAGCGTTTGCCTCTACTCCATAGCCCGACAGATGCAAGAGTCAAGCACCCACCTCCGAGCGGAGCGCGCAGGATTCCGAACCCAAAAATAGTGTTTTCAATTGCTCCCATTTGCGCTCTTTGGCCCCGAATGGTGCCCATTGCTTTCTCCCGAGTAGCCCGCCCTGGAGAAAACCCCAAACAGCCAAAAAGCCGGAACCCTCTCCTGAGCACTCCAAGCCCTGAAACCACACAGATTCTGAAGCCTAAGCCCCAAAAACACCCGAACCCTAAACCCCATTGAAGCTCCCCTAGAACCCTAAACCCCTTCAGCCCTAGACCTTATTCCCTAAACCCCATTTGACCCTAGACCCTGAAACCCGGTAACCCCAAAACCCTCAAAAGCCTAAATCCCTGAACCCCCTACCTGAACCCCCTAGCCTAAGCCCCTGAACCCCCTGAACCCCCTACAGCCTAAGCCCCCTGGCCTCACTGCCCTCCGCTTCTAGGATCCTCATGAGCAGCTCGGGGGTGCGAACAGTGACGGCCATGGCCTTTGAACGCTCCGGGGCTCTAGGGATGCCGAGCATTGAGATGGTCCATAGTCAACCTGAATAGAAAAAAAAGACTTGGGCCTCAAAGTACCTCCTACATCGGTACTTTGGGGGCCTAAGTAAAAAAAAGGCTAGACCCAGGCGTAGCCTAGGAAAAAAGGGCGCCCCTCTTGGCTTAAAGGGGCTGATAAGGGAACCTAGACCTTAAAAAAGGAAATGAGGGCCTCCTCTGGGTCCTAGAAAATTAATGGGGTACATGGACATGTACTTCAAGGTTCATGGTACTTAAGAACGAAATGATAACTGTACCTTTTAACCCAATCATAGCAATGTTAGGGGTTATAATAGCCATATTAGGGCTATTAAGGGGGACATAAGTGGGCTATGAATACACTGATAATTGGTTCTTGGGTACCACGAACCTCTTACGTACCACGAACCTCCAAGTATAATTAGTCGCCCAAAACCCTAAACCCTAAACCCTATAGAAACCCTAAGCCCTGAACCCTAAACCCCGTACCACGAACCTCCAAGTAGGGGGCTTAAGGTTTAGCACCTCCGATTCGGGGCCTGCTCCAAGGCCAGATCCAACCGCTCGTGGGTCGTTCCTCAGCGTCAGGTTTAGGGTTTAGGGTTTAGGGTTTAGGGTTTAGGGTCCAGGGTTTAGGGCGTCGGGTTGCAAGTTGGGTCATTGCTTACGGGAAAGAGGGGACTTCGTAAGTGGGGTTGTAAGCAAGCTTAAGGGAACCATACTTACAATTACTTATAAGGCGAATTAAGGTACCTTGTAACCCTACTTGCTAAGTGCTCCGAGCCTCCCAGTGTGAGGGCTCCCCTGCAAGATTGGGGGTTTTGGGCGTGCTAGCACTCTGGGATGGGACGTGGGAACCAGGGGTTTAGGGTTTAGGGTTTAGGGTTTAGGGTGTAGGGTTTAGGGTTTAGGGTTTAGGGTCTAGGGGCTCGCTGTGTCATGAGGGTGCCGGAGCCTTCAAGAGAAACCAGTGCCACAAGCCTCGATTTAATCCCCAACCACAAACCCTTGGCTAGGCGTTGCCAGGGCCTAAGCCCCAAACCCTAAACCCTAAACCCTAAGTACCAAGTACCCTAAGCCCTAAGCCCTAAGCCCTAAGCCCTAAGCCCTAAACCCTAAACCCTAAACCCTAAACCCTAAACCCTAAACCCTAAACCCTAAACCCTAAACCCTAAACCCTAAACCCCCTAAACCCTAAACCCTAAACCCCAACCCCCCCCCCCCCCCCCCCCCACCAGCCCACCCCTACACCCAAGCAACTGGAAAACTCTGTGGCCCACCCCTGGGTCCTAGGAGCCGAGGTTCCGTGCCTTGCCCGGGCTGTTGGCAGGGCATCCTGGGTTGGTTTAGGGTTTAGGGTTTAGGGTTTAGGGTTTAGGGTTTAGGGTTTAGGGTTATATAAGGGTTAAGGGATAAGGGTTAAGGGCCGAAACAGGCTTGGGGGTGCTGCCGTTCCGGGCTTTTAGGGCCAGGGTCTTAGGGTTCTCGTGTTTAGGGGTTTAGGGTTTAAGGTATTTCAGGGTTTGGGGCTTAGGGTTTAGGGCTTTTAGGGTTTGTACCAGGGTCCATGATCGCTTTGGTGATGCAGCCTGTAAGTGGAGATGGGGGGGTGGGAGGTTGACTAGCCTTCTGAGCTCAGTGCTTGCGGCCAGGGGAGCCACAAGCAAGGACCCCACGTTCCTTCCCCACCGAAGGCCGAAAACAGAACCCCAAAGCTTCAAAACCGACGCAACCGCAACGAGTGCAGAAGCCCTGAATCCTAAACCCTAAACCCTCAACCCTAACCCTAAACCCTAAACCCCCCCCCAACCCCCCTAACCCCCCCTAACCCCCCCTAAACCCTAAACCCTAAACCCTAAACCCTAAACCCTGAACCCTAAACCCTACACCCTAAACCCTAAGAGGCTCGCGCTGCCGAGCTGCCGGGGCTTTGATGTTGAAGCACCATCGCGCTTGCCGTGGCTCCGAGGGAGTCCTCAGCTCCAGGGTTCAAGGGGGGGTTTAGGGTTTAGGGTTTGGGGTTTAGGATTTAGGGTTTAGGGTTTAGGGTGGTTTAGGGTTTAAGGTTAGGGGTTAGGGGGGTGAGAAATCTGATATATACCCAAGAGTATTTCGGGCAAACCTACTCCTAGTACTACTTCTACTACGACTACGACTACGACGGGAACGACGACGACTACTACGACTAATTACATGCGCTACCCCAAGCCCAAACCCCCTAAACCTTAAGCCCTAAACCCCAAGCCCTAAACCCTAAACCCTAAACCCTAAACCCTAAACCACACTGCTGCTTGGGCACAGATCGTCACACGACTGCACGACGCGTGTGAGCATCGGAATGGAACGCAGCTCAGCCATCGAGCCTGCGCTCAGACTGGTGCTTCAGTGGGGAGTGAACCAGGTTTAGGGTTCAGGGTTCAGGGTTTAGGGTTTAGGGTTCAGGGTTTAGGGCTATTATACCCTGTACTTTCTGAACATGCCCTTTATAGGGTTCATTATGGGATTTTAAGGCCTAATAGCCCATCCTGGAATGTAGCTACCACTGTACCGTAGAAACCCCAAACCCTAAACCCTAAAAAACAACAACAACCTCAAATCCTATAGACACACCGGCCTGCTGCAGGCTTGACAGAGTCCTCGGCAGGCGTCAGGAAGCAGTGTTTGGGGCGGTTTAGGTTTAGGGGTCGCCTTTTGGGAATCATTGGAACCCTGCAAAACCACCAATGTGATGCAGTGCTTAGGGTTTACAGAGTTTGTAGAGTTTGCAGGGTTTGTGGGGTGTATAGGGCTGATAGGGTTTATAGAGTTTGTAGGGTTCGGGTTTTCCTCAAGACTTCCCAGCATGGAGGATTGGTTTATGATCATATGCTTGAACCTCCTAAACCCCAAACCCCAAACCCTTGTCAGCTTCGCTTCGCAACTCGCAACCCCTGAGCCCTGTTGTGTTCAGGGCGTGGGGCTTAACGCTTCTTAGCGGTGTAAGGTTTAGGGGTTACAGCCCTAAACCCTAAACCGTAAATCCTGAATACTCCTTGGGCTGTAATTGGGGCACAAACCCTGTTGAAAAGGGAACTCACCTATATGATTGGCAAATGCACCCTGCTTTTTTATCAAAATCTATATAGCTACACAACCCTACACCCTAAACCCCAAACCCACAACCCCTACACCCTAAATACCCTAAACCATCCTAGACCCTAAACACCCTTAACCCTGAACCACAAATACCCTAGACCCTAAACCCTCAATACCTGGACCCTAACTACCCTAACTACCCTAAACCCTAAACCCTATATGCCCTGAACCCTAAGCCCTCGACTCGACACTAATACCTCGCTGAAGGGCATCTCCGCTGAACTCTTTCCCGCTCTGGGCGAGGCAGTCGCCGGACCTTTGATGCTTGTTGAGTGACTTAGGGTTTAGGGTTTAGGGTCTTAGGGTGTAGGGTTTAAGGGTTAAGGGTTTAGGGTTTAGGGTGTAGGGCTAAGGGTTTAGGGTTTAAGGGTTTAAGGGTTTAAGGGTTTAAGGGTTTAAGGGTTTAAGGGTTTAAGGGTTTAAGGGTTTAAGGGTTTAAGGTTTAGGGCAACTATTCTGGGCACTGGCTTTAAACTGGCTGCTAGGAGACTTGCTGGCCGAGGGGTTGAGGGTCCCTAAACCCTAAACCCTAAACCCTAAACCCTAAACCCTAAACCGAGTGCAGGGCCTTGGAGTTCGATGCTGGGCTGTGTGGAGCTGCGCGTTTGGGATTTCCAGCGGATTCTAGCGTCCCTAGGTTCAGGGCCAACCTCGAACATAATTGTAGGGGTTTAGGCTTTAGGGTTTAGGGTTTAGGCTTTGGGGTTTGGGTTTTTTTTTTGGTTTAGGGTTTAAGGTTAGGAGTTCTATGGTTTAGGGTTTTAGGGTCAGGAGCATGATTGGGGTCTCCGTAAACTGGGGGGAAGCCCTGTTTAGGGACTTCCTACATGATAATTTTTAAGGAGGGGGGGGACGGGGTCAGGCCGGGAAGGGTGCGGAATTCCGACACAAGGGGGCCTAGGAAGCTGGATAGGAATCAGGGCTTCAGACTTCTAGGGTTTGTGTTTACTGTTTTGGGAGAACATCCCGAGTCGGTGGCATCATCACGTAGTACGTCTCCTGGCAAAAAGGGGCCGCTTTATGCCCAGACTTCAGTAGGAACCCCCTTCTTGGAGGTTCATGGGTAGATATGATTAGGGTTTTAAGTAGGATAAGTCCCGTCAGAGCCTTGTCTAGGGTACTTGTAACCCTACTCTTATATATATATATATATATATATACATGTGTATATATATATATATATGTATACCCTAAACCCTAAACCCTAATTAACCCTAAACCCTAAACCCTAAACCCCTTAACCCTAAACCCTTAAACCCTAAACCTGAGCCTCGGAGTACTTTCATAGCCTCATTTAGGGAACTGATAACCCTGGTCTCCACCCAGTCCTGGAAAGTCTTCTCCCAGGCAAAGAAGAAGGACCATGCCACGAAGACGACGACGCCCAGGGTGCCGTAGGCAAACACCAGCTGAGCAGGGATTTCGGGCCCTAAAGCCTAAACCCTGAGATCAGGGGTTGTGGGCCGTCTTGGCGCCGACTGCCAACGCTAAACTGCTATTCAGCCCCACACTTGACCCCTCTAAGGTTAGTTACATGGTCTATTGGTATGACCCCCTTCGATGGAAACCCCTTATACACCCCTTATGTCCACTGTAGAACACAAGGGCCCATATTTACTTCAGAACCCTCTAGAAAAAGCCAAGGGACCTCCCTAAACCGTTCAAATCTTAAGTATGCCGCCCCCCAACTTCAGGTGGGTGGGTTCCCTCATTGAGCCTATATACCCATCATTCTCTATGTCTCAAGCTAGTTACGTAGTCCCCCTCAAGATGGGCCCTTGACTGGGGAAGCCTTATATACCTTTGATGCACCCTAAACCCTAAACCCTAAACCCTAAACCCTAAACCCTAAACCCTAAACCCTAAACCCTAAACCCTAAACCCTAAACCCTAAACCCTAAACCCTAAACCCTAAACCCTAACCCTAAACCCTAAACCCTAAGTCACCCAAGGGGCCCATTCTTCAGAACCCCTTAGCAATGGACCATTTTGCGTGACCTTGTCACTTCCCTTAAAGATGGGGCTCCAAGCCCCATCTTGCCCTAAACCCTTTTGGTTTAGGGTTTAGGGTCTAGGGTTTAGGGTTTAGGGTTTAGGGCTTAGGGTTTAGGGTCACCTAATCAAGAGAGCTGCTTACATACACTTTTCTCAATGGTTCTGGTGATCAGGGTTAGCTTAAATTAAACCCTAAGGCCAAAACCTTTATTCGACACCTGTGACCTCCACTCGGGAAGCTGCACTTAACAAAACCCTGAACTCCAACGCCGTAAATGCCAGAAGGTTCCTGGGATTGACACTTCTCGGGTGTAGGGTTTACGAATTGGGGCTGGAAATTCGCGGTTGAGGGTTTTAGGGTTTTCAGGCTTCAGGGCTTGGGGCTTTGGGCTTTCCCTAGGCCTTCAAATCTCTGCCTGAAACCTAAAACCTAAACCCTAAACCGTAAACCTTAAACCCTAAACCCCAAACGTCGAAGAAGCGACGGCCTACAGATTTCAAGTTTGAGGGCTGAGCCTTCAGGATACCCTTAAACCTGAAACCCTACGCCCAGAAGCCTCGAAAGTGTTCGGATTTGCGGCTGCAGCGTGTCACAGCATTTTGTGGCTTCCTATGATTGAAGGATGTAGAGTCTAGGCCCCTAAGCCCTCAACTCTACACCCCAAACCCTAAAACCCTAAACACCTAAACCCAAGGCCCTAAACCCTAAGCCCTAAACCCTGAACCTGAACTCTAAACCCTAAACCCTAAACCAAAAACCCTAAACATCAAAACAAAACCCTTGGACCCTAAACCACCCTTCAACTTCCGAAGCTTGGAGGCATAGGCGGCCATGGCGCTCCGAAGACGATGTTCTCAAAGGTGGGATTGCTACCGAAGTACTCCTGGGATTCAGGGGTATCCGGTTTAGGGTTTAGGGTTCAGGGTTTAGGGTTTGGGGTTTAGGGTCATCAAGGTTTATAGGGCTTGCGTGTGACGTGCTGCGTGTTTGTTTTGTTCTTTTTTGTTGGGGGGGAGGACTGAAAGCGGGGCGTTTAGGGTTTGAGAATGTTTAGGGGAATGTACATGTTCTGGCTTCACGGCTCTAGAATGCATGGGGCCGTTGCCGGGCTGTTGGGAATTTCAGGAGTTTAAGGTTGCCTAGCTGGAGGTAGAGGGTGCTTATTAACCCCACTCAGGACTCTACTGATAACCTCATTTATCGTGAGATTACGGTACATAGGGGGCTTAGAAGTGGGTTTATAAGCACCCTGAACCCCAAACCCTGAACAATAAACCCTGAACAATAAACCCTGAAACCTAAACCCTAAACTCTAAACCCTAAACCCTGCCTAAGTAGGGTTTAAGGCTTGCCGGAAGCTAGGTTCACGTAGTAGGGTTCCTGGCCACCTTCAGGCTGACATGTTTGGCTGTAGAGATCCCTTAAAGGGCCGAGAGGTTTAGGGTTTAGGGTTTATAGGGTTTAGGGGGTTTAGGGTTTCGGGTTTGGGGTTTAGGGTTTGGGGTTTAGGGTTTAGGGCTCTAAGTTCACCCCCTAAAACCCTCGATAGCCTCACGCCCCAAAGCCCGCGGTTAGGCCCTAAAGCCTATGTACTTTCCCGCACCCCAACCCCTAAACCCTAAACCCTAAACCATGAACCCTGAACCCTAAACCCTAAACCCTAAACCCCGGCCAGGCTCCATCTGCATGGACATCAGGACACAAAGGACCTCGGGTGTGCGCACAGCCCAAAGCGCATTCAGGGGCCTCTTTGCTTGAGATGATTGATATGGGCAATGTTGCCCTATGGTGCTAAGATGATTATGATTATGATTTTTATTATTATAATTATTATTAGTATATATATATACATATGTACGTATACATGTGCAGCCTAAACCCGGCGAATATAGGGGTCTATGGAATTCAAAGGTGTCGTTTGGGTAGCTTAGGTCATGGTCATATTAAGGGGCAACTACGCAGGCAGCTCTACTAGGCCTCATTTTCCGCTGGTGTGGGATTAGACCCTGATTTAGTAAACCCTAAACCCTAAGCCCTAAACCCTAAACCCTAAACCCTAAACCCTAAGCCCTAAACCCTAAACCCTAAACCCTAAGCCCTAAACCCTAAACCCTAAACCCTGAACCCTAAACCCGAAACCCTCAGAGAGCCCGAGGCCCGGACGTTGAGGAAAGCAAAGCAGGCTTCCAGCACGTTGAGCCCTGCCGACTAAAGGTTCTGAGTTTAGCGTTTAGGGTTTAGGGTTTAGGGTTTAGGGTTTAGCAATCGCTTTGGCAGGTCTTTGTTGAAGGCTTGTAGGATTTAGGTTTAGGGTTTGGGTTTGGGTTGAGGGTTTGAAGGGTTCAGGGTTTGCAGGCTTTGGAACTTTGGGGTTTGCAGGGTTGAGGGTGGAGGGCTGAGGGCCGAGGGTTTAGGCTTTGTAGAAGTTAGAATTTAGGGAATTTAGGAATGTAAAGGTTCGACAACAGGCAGTGTTGGGGGGTGAACAAAGCAATCGCAGCATCCCCTGGGGAAGGCGAGTCTCTGCAAGAAGTATCACCCTGATCGAAACCTGGCATTCAAAAGGCGTTTGGGGCTTGGCTTGGGGAATTTTGGGGGTTCTAGGGTTTTTTGCGGGCGAAACCCTAAACCCTAAACCCCAAGATTTGGGGTTTGGGGTTCCGGGTGCAGGTGCAGGGCCGTGATGTTGATGGCTGTCCAATCCTGGGTACTCTCCATGGACAGGACCCTTCGTATGGCATGCCCTACAGAACCCGAGCATCAACCCTAAACCCGAAACACTAAACCCGAAACCCTAAACCCGAAACCCTAAGCCCCCATGGAAGGCCTTGATGGCGGTAGGGCTGCACCGCCAGGGACAGCGTGAAGTGGCTCGCGCACACTGCCAGCGCGAGCTGCAAGCCTTGGATTGGCTCGGGGTGCGTTCGGGTGTTTTAGGGGTTTTGGGTTTTTAGGCGTTTGGGGGTTTTAAGGGGTTTGGGGCTTTTAGGGGTTTAAGGTTTAGGGTTTTGGGTTTAGGGTTTAAGGTTTAAGTTAAGGTGTTAGCTGTAGAGTTCAGGGTTTCAGGGTTTAAGTCATGAAGGTTCGGTGGTCCCAATGCCCCCAGAGGCTACACAGCTTAGCAAGCCACAACAGCGGCCTGAGCTTTAGGGCAGGAGGGGGGGGGGGGGGGGGGGGGCGGGTGAGTTCAGGGTAATTACAGATTTTGAGGTTCCAAGAAGGATGAAAGGTGTCTAGCGTCTTGCGTATGTGTTTAGCGGCAGTACAATACTTTAGTTTTTTGTTGCTGCGCTAACATGTACGTCGGATAACTATACATTGACTCAACCTACATGCAACAAACAAACAGCAAGCTAAACTACAACAAAAAAAGCTGCGTTGGGAAAACCTGGTATGGCTTCCGGCTCAAGGTTTGGTTTTCGGGCTTAATGAGCTTGACTTAGAGCTTAACAACTGAACATACAAAGGTAAGTATGCACAAGCAATCCCCTTGAAAAAGGGGAAAACAAGTCGGTGCAAGCAACCTAGCGCAGGCCGGTGCGTCGTCTGCACCCAGAGCATACCCAAGGCAGTCTTATGTGCGAGGACGACAAGCTCCTTGGATCAGAGCTGGGGGTTTCGATGTAAGGGTTTAGGGTTTAGGGCTTAGGGTTTAGGGTTTAGGTAATTAGGATTTAGGGTTCAGGAGGCGTGGCTATCGAGGTTTGAAGACGTCCTTCTGTAAGGCTGTCCTTACCATCAAACTCCGAGGAGACCAGTGCAGAGCCCCCTCTGCACTTACCCAGGCTCGTGCCCTGCAAGGGTTTAGGGTTTAGGGTTTAGGGTTTAGGGCCCCATAAAGCCTACATGAGCATGCCCTACTCAAACTAGATCATGGCAACCCCCCTGCCTGAGGCAATACACCGACTGAAGTCGAGACAGAAACGCCTTGATTCTGTACTTCAAGGTTTAGGGCTTAGGGTTTAGGGTTTAGGGGTTAGGGTTTAGGGTTTAGGGTTTAGGGTTAGGGTTTAGGGTTCAAGCGGGCGTTGCTTTGAACGGGTCTTCTCGGGTTTGATCTTGCCACGCCAGACCCGCACCCCACTACCCTCCCCCCCTCGTCGCCTCCCCAACTAGAGTGATGATGCGATCGAGTATCGTAAGTAAGTAGTAGTAACTCCAAGAGTCTGGAATACCCAATTAATTCGACTCTGGCGACATATCATCTATATATACGAGTAGCCCTAAACCCTAAAGCCAAAAGCTTGTACTTCAGGAAATCCATAAACCCTAAGACCTAAACCCCATATCCTAAACCCTAAACGCGAAACCCTAAACCCTAAACCCTAAACCCTAAACCCTAAACCCTACACCAGGCGAAGTCTACTTCGCGCCCAAGCGGCCCAGAGGAAGGCCAGCAAGTCGGCGAGGCTCATCTGTGTTTCAGAGAAGGAGCTCATGGTCCTTCCAGGGTTTAGGGTTTAGGGTTTAGGGTTTAGGGTTTAGGGCTAGACCCAAGAGGAGCCTAGCAACAAACAGGGTCCCCTTGTTGATTGGGGCTCCAAAAGGGAACCTAAGCCCGAAAAAAGGGGACTAAGGCCTTGCTCTGGGTCCTAGTCCGGGGCCTTCTCAGGATTCACAGTAATCTCCAAAAAGTTGGAACATCCTTATCCCCACACCCCAAAAGGTATACTACAGGGAATCCCAGCTCTAATCATCCTTAAACCATGTTCCAACTTTCTGGAGTTTACTGTAGCTTCTAGGGTTTGAGGGTTTCAGGGTTGAGGGGTTTAGGGTTTCAGGGTCTAGGGTTCAGGGGGTTTCAGGGTGGAAGCCTCTAGAGTTGAGGGTTTCAGGGTTTTAGGCTTTAGGGCGCCGCGCGCCACTCGCGAGTTCGAAGCTGCGAAAACCCTGCAGACCCTACGTCGCTTTCAACCCGAAAGCAGAAAGCCCTAAACCCTAAACCCTAAACCCTAAACCCTAAACCCTGAACCCTGAACCCTAAACCCTCAACCCTACCTAACACCTCGTCCTCAGCTCCACCAGCAGCTTCTCCAAGCGCCAGGTGAGGCGATCGTACGCAGCCTGCCAAAAGTGGGCGCAGGGTTGGGCTTAGAGCTTAGGGTTTGGGGTTGAGGGTTCGGGGTTGGGATGTTCCCCTTAAACGAACAGTCCTTAATAGGAATTATAGTACCCCCTACGATAATCCCTATTAAGGACCGTTCGTATAGAGGGGAACATCCCTAGTTGAAGGGTCTGGCGCCTAGGGTTACTTTTGGTAAACCCTCAACTACAAACTGCTTAAGAACCCCCGAAAACACAAAAAACACTCTTCCTCATAAGGGTAATTTGGGGATTATTACCTTTCATAGATTTTATGGGGGGGGGGTTCTGAACTACCATTTGCTTAATAAGCAAATAGTAGTCAATGCCCTGCTGGCCACGGCGTTGAGGCTACTCTCTCCGAGGATGTCTTGCAAGGCACTCTAGACCCTAAACCCTAAACCCTAAACCCCTAACCCTAAACCCCAAACCCTAAACCCCGAACCCTAAACCCAGCATGGAAGTTCGTATGCATGCCAAGATGCGTACTCCACCGCAAGAGCCCTCCACAGCTTAAGTCGTCATGTCCGTACTGTCAGCTTTTTCTCGGGGGCTGAGCTTTTAGGGTCAGGGTTTAGGGTTTAGGGTGTAGGGTTTAGGGTTTAGGGTTTAAGAGTAGCAAAGTTGGCCTTCGGGTTGTGCTGGGGTGTTTGATCCCCAGAGGGGTTGAAGGTTGAAGGTTACCTCAACCCTAAACCCTCTAGACCCTGAACCCTACACCCTGCTTCCTCAGCACCTCAGCTGTTTTCCAGCCGCCCTCGAGTTGTTGCTGTACATGCTGTACATTTTGTTGAAGGCCGCAGCGTGCATGGAAGCACGGGGACAAACCTCATATACAGCCCCTTCTAGGGCTCACGTAGGGGGATATGTAAGGAGCCCCCTTAAGGAGCCCCTAACTCCCTGGTATCCCCAAGAAATCGAGCAAGCATACGCTGGGAGTGACCCCAGGCAGGTTGCGGAACAAGCTACGCGAAAAGGCAGCAGCCTAGCAGCCGCCGCCGTTTCGAGAGGCGAAGGTGTCAACTTCGAGAGGGTTCAGTTCGCTGACAACTTTCCTTGCGGGTTGCGTGTAGCTGGGCGCGAGGATGTCGAATCCTTGCAAGAGCATCGAGCTAGCCACGGTTTAGGGTTTAGGGTTTAGGGTTTAGGGTTTAGGGTTTAGGATCCTAAACCCTGAATCGTTGAATGGGCCCTCGAACCAAAAAAAAGCAAGCCCCCCCCCCCCCCAAACTGCGGAAGAGCTGAACTCCAACCCAAAACAAACGGAAGTCCACAAGTGCTTGGCCCCAAAACTACCACATATTGGCACCCATCTTCAGGTATGGACTCAGTGGGTATGATCCTTTATCAGGTTTAGGGTTTAGAGTTTGGGGCTTGGGCTTCAGCTACCAACCAGAAAACAAAAGAGTAGTTCTCTAAACTAGGTTTCCTTTCGGGGTCCCTAGAAATAGTACGGCTCACCTTACAGAACTACTATTTGCTTAACTAGATAGGAACACCTAAAGAATAAAAATAATAATCCTCTATTTCCCTTCTTAAGGAAGAATATTTTTAATTTTTCGGGTTCTTTAGCAATTCATTCGTAGAACAAGGACCAACCCCAAAAAGGACCTGCCCAAGAACAGAGGTGCAGTCTCACTCCGTGAGTTTCAGGTAGACTGACGAAGCAACTTTAGGGTTTTGGGGTTAGGGTTTAGGGTTCAGGGTTTAGGGTTTGGAGTTTAGGGTTTAGGGTTGAGGGTTTAGGATTTGGGGCTTCGGGTTTGAGTGTGAGCCTTTAGGAACAAACTCTCTGCAAACTGAGGAAAAAGGAGCCCCAGTAAGAACCACACATTGGTTGGGTGGCTGAGAAAAAGGAAAAAGGGAATTCCCTGCCAACCCTGAACCCTAAACTCTAAACCCTAAACCCTAAACTAAACCCTAAACCCTAAACCCTAAACCCTAAACCCTAAACCTTAAACCGCGCTAAACCACTGGCTGAGCTTTGAAGGAGCTAGGAGTGGGAAGGGAGAGGGGTGGGCGTCTGTACTGAAAGGATCAGGGGACTTAGAAAGCGGGGTTATAAGACAGGTTTAGGGTTTTAAGGTTTAGGGTTCTGGGTTTAGGGTTCAGGAAAAAGGTAACTATACTTTAATTCTAAGCCCAATTAAGGTACTTAAAACCCTACTTACTAAGTGCCCCGATCCTCCAAGTAGTTATAGTACCTCAACGAAAAAGTGATATAACGGTTGTACAACTGCTCAGTAAACAAGCAACCTTCCCCCAACAAATTGTGGAACTAATCCCTGAACAAACCGCCCCAATCCCTAAACCCTAAACCCTAAATCCCTAAATCCCAAATCCTAAACCCGAAGCTCTACACCCTGAACTCTAAACCCTGAGACTCCTTCACCGTAGTACGCCGCCCAGTCGAAGCATGGATCGACGTTCTCACGCCTGAAGGCTTCGGCCATACGCTGGCCCTCCTGAGGTTCAGGGATTAGGGTTTTAGGGTTTAGGGTTTAGGGTTTAGGGTTTAGGGTTTAGGGTTTAGGGGGTTGAGGGATTATTGAGGACTTTTGGTAGGGTTTCGGGTTTAGGGTGTAGGGATTAGGGTGTAAGGCTAGGGTTTAGAGTTTAGGGTTTAGGGCTTGGGGCTTAGGGTTTACGGGGGGCTTAGGGTTTAGGACTTTTGGGCTCATGGATGTTGGTAGGGTTTTAAGATTTTTGGGGACATCTGGAAGGAATGAACTTCTGAAAGTGAGTGGTAGGATATGGGATGGAACCCAGCTATACAGCCCGCAAAGCCCAAAGCCCTTAACCCTAAGCCTAGGATTTCGGGATGAGGGTCTGAATCTGGACTTACACAATTTCAGGGTTTAGGGCATAGGGTTTAGGATTTGGGGTTTAGACTTAAACCCCTAAACCATGCTGATAACAATCGTGGCTGGGGTTGGCTTCGGGGGGGGGGGGGGGGGTTGTTGTCACAACTTAAATGTCTATGGGTTAGTAGAGGCCCGGGTGAAAACCAACACCTTCAGGCCCCCTTAAGGCTCTAAACCTTAAGCCCCTCAGCCAAACCCTGAACCCTAAGCCCTAAGCTCTAAACCCGAAACTCTTAAGCCTAAACCCTAAAGCCTAAACATCCCTAAACCCTAAACCAAACCCTAAAACCCTGGCTTGGGTGTGAATAAAGGAGAAAAGTCGACCCCCATGATGCAAAAACGCAAGGGCTACCCTCTCCTCTGGCGAAGCCGCAGGTGCCGAACTGGCCTGTTCAAAACACCGGGGGGGGGGGGGGGGGTTTAGGGTTTAGGGTTTAGGGTTTAGGGTTTAGGGTTTAAGGTTTAGGGTTTCGGGTTTAGGGGGTGACAGGTGACAGGTGATATCGAGGCGTTGAGGCTATTAGGGCTTAGGGCGTTTAGGGTTTAGGGTTTAGGATTCCGTCCTACAACGGTACTTTGGGGCCCAAGTATATAATAGTAAGATGCATGCATGGAGCCTGAAGGTAAGTTGCTGTTTAGGGCTTTTTCGGGCTCAGCGTTTGGATGTGGCTGCTGCTGTTCCATTACCTCAAACTACCCTCTCCCTGGGCTCCTGTTCGGAGCACTTCTGCCACGCCCTCTGTATGCGAGCTATGGCTACAGAACTCAGAATCTCAGACATCTTTGCAGCTATCTACTCAACAGTGGGGGGCATATGAAATCTCATAGATGTAAAACCCGAACACCGAAAACCTAAACTGCCCAGGCCCTCAAACTCCCAGGCATGGGAAGACCTCAACCCTAAACCCAAAACCCTGAACCCTAAACCCTGAACCCTGAACCCTGAACCCTCAACCCTCAACCCTCAACCCTAAACCCTAAACCCTAGACCCAAACTTGGTTGGGGGGTGCGGCGTGTCGTGAATCGCCGGAGCTCCTCAAAATTGGGCCCACGTATCTGGCTTACGTGTATCTTTAGCCATGCGTTCAGGACTTCCATGGCGTGTACGGTTTACGGTTTAGGGGATGAGGGTTCAGGGTTTAGGGTTCAGGAGTTTAAGGGCTAAGCGTTTAAGAACTTTAGGTTGCTGTGCTGCTGCCGTGCTACGCATAGCTGCGGGAGACCAGTCCATGTGACATATTGGCTTGAAAAAGAGGGCACGGCACTGCGTGCACGAGACATGCTGAACAGGGTTTAAGGTTGAGGGTTTAGGGTTTAGGGTTTACGGTTTAGGGTTTAGGGTTTAAGGACTATCTTGATGAGATCTCAGGCATGGGATTCTCACTGTGCAACCTTCCCATCGCCTTCGCCACCGCCGTCTTCTGCCGAGCGCCCTGGCCGTAAAGACTGCCGTCCGGCCGCTGGAACCTTGCACCACAGATGGTTGGCTTGGGCCCGAAGCCCTGAACCCCCTAACCCTAAACCCGAAACCCTAAACCCTGAGCCCTAAACCCTAAACCCTGAACCCTAAACCCTAAACCACAAGGGTTCAGGGTGCCCACGATGTTCTGAAGGCTCCATGTCCTACAGCTTACCCCACACACCGCCTTTGCCAACCCCAAACCCTAAACCCTAAACCCATCATCTGGAGCACTGCTTCGAGGTTCATGGGTAGTTATAAGTGGGCCTACGGGTCCATGTACCTGAATCTCCTACAACGGTACTCTGGGGGTAGGGCGATAAGCGTCCGAAATAAGGCTCTATACGCTTATCTTATAAACCCTAAACCCCAAACCATCCTAAACCCTAAACCCTAGATTCTAAACCCTAAACATTATATCCGAATTCCAAAACCCTCAACATGCTAGATGCAACTTTGGTGCGTCATAGGCCCTCACAAACCATAAACCAACAAGAAGACACACGCGGTCACCCTTTTTGGCAATTTGCCTTGTGTAGGTTCTCCTATTTTGATTGATCTTGAAATGAAGTATTTACGTCCTACTGCCAATTAAAGTATATTCATAGAAGAGTAGGGTTTGAAATATGTAATTGAGCTCAAACTAAGCTACGGAAAATCCTTCTGCCAATTAAGCTATATTATATTATTATATGCCCGGGACATAATACTAAAAGACTGTATAATTTTAATATAAAATATAAGGACGAAGGACGCATGATTTTATTATTAAAATTCAGGCTTTTAACACGGGCCAAATAGTACTTTTATTCACTGGCCCGTACACTATTATTATATTACAAAAGGCCCCTATCTTTCTCTCCCTTTTGGGCCTTGGGTGTCCTATCCAGTAGCATATATCCAGTCCTGCTATCGCCGTCTCATCGGAGCCCAATCCCTTGACTCGTCTATTGCCCTTCTTCGCCCGCTCCCTGCCTACAGTTGTCACTAGTATTCCTCTATGCGTGCCTTCGGCGCCATCATCCCCTTGTCGTACCACAGGCATGGCCGCATATACCTGGCTATCATCGCTGGCCTGTGGGTTTCGGCCCGCCCCTAGCGAAAACTTGGCCCTTCACCATCAGCATGCGGACTCGATGGCCTCGTCTCCTTCTGCTCTATCTCTACTGTCTCAAATGCTTCCCTAATGCTACTCGGGATAGCCTCATGGAGCATTTTACACTTGTCATTTCTACAGTTGCCATACCGAAAATGCTCAAAGCAATATCCCGCCTTCTTGAGAACCTCTTCCGCCTGACTATACAGATAAATATCGTGCGAATGCTTGCAGTCCGCCGCAGTCATCGGGCACGTTCCGCGCGTATAGGGGTAGCAGACCCCTCTCTTTCCAAACGGCGACTTGGATCCATATCTATTCTTCGGGTCATCAGCTCTCCCCGCCTGCGAAAGTCCGTCCCTGCCCCTTCCCACAGATATCCCTCTTCCGTAGCCATTTCCCGCTCCGGGCGATGAACTCCTCGGTCTATCATCAGCGTACGCGCTTCTTCTATTCACCGGCGCTCTATATGATCCCTGCTGAGCCGGCATCGCAGCATACCCACTCGAGAACGCCTGTCGGCTCACCCACATTGAGGCCTCGTCTATATTCTTATCCGCTCTCCACATTTCCAATCTATCCTTGATTCTCTTTCGCAACCAGGTATGCGTCTTGGCCTCGTCCGGAAGTAATCTCCATGCCTCAATATCGTGGTTCAGCACCTGAACTCTCTGCACCTTCGAATGCAACATCCACCCCAGCTGCTGCTCGCTCCAGGTGTTGCCTTTCAGCCCTACAAGGTTCGTGTGTGCCAGATCCCATCTAGTCATGAATTCCTCCATAGCCTCCTCTTCTGGCTTCCCTGGGAAATGCATCACCTTCGTGCTGCGGGAAAGGCCGAAGCCGATACCATTTTGCATGGCTGTGTCCAATATGAGCAATTGTTCCTGACAAACAGACTTCTCACAAGCCTAGGTCATTGCAGAGGCTCTTGTTGACAGGCTTACTTGCACATTCCTTGGAAGGCGACATGATTAAATTCAGCGTAAGCGACATGTTGCCAAAATGTGCCTTGCTTTGTGGAATCCAAGTCCTTGTTGGGGACGAGCTTCTGTTTCAGGGGCAACAGTTTTGCTCTCTTCTGCTGCTCATCATTGCTGTGCCTTTCAAAGAAAATCTCAGTGTTCTTGGCGTAGGCATCCTCGTACGCCTGTACCATCTCAGGGGTGTCTACAGCAGGGCCTCCATGGAAGTCGCGTGTCACCTCTCCAACACAGGGCGGACAAATCAAAGTCACAGTCAAAAACATGTTCTTCTATAGTCTTCCATCATGTCGCGCAGGCTCCCAGGCGCCAATGCAGGCAAATCGCCATGGGAGGGAGCCAACATGCAAGATTGGAATTGCCAGCCCAAGCTGCGAAGATAGTCGTCTCTTCAGCTGGCTGGCCCAGTCGTTTCCCATCAGAGCTGATGGACAGTACGCTTGCCTTGCCAAGTCCCATGAACAGGAAACTGAAACATGCCTGATTGTTAATTGTCCACTGACTGATTGTACCATTTTGATTCATTATGATGATGAGGCCAAGTGCATTTTGGAGTGCATCTCGCGCACTTGCAACGTAAGTCCGCAGTTCTTGCAGCTGCCATCTGCTCGCGGCACCAGGGCCGCCGCCCTTGCTGTGTACATCTTTGCAACCTTTCCAAAGATTCAGCATTCTAGCAGCTGCTGTATAGACTATACTGTGACTATACACTATAGTAGTAACTATAGACCTAGCAGAAAAGCATGGAGGCGGCTTCCATGAGGTTCCGAGCCACTTGATGACGTAGCATGCCACTCAGTTCGCTTTTGGACTCTCGACGCGATCCAAGGATCGAGTCACGAGGCATCATCACATGTCTGAACGTGTTACACGGATCGTCACAGGCCTTATGCCACAGATTTTCCATGGCCAGGATTGGCTGTACTGTGCAGGTTTACAAGGCTCATGGTTTTTTGCATCTACGTATATAGTCTGCCACGCCTCAACCAACAGGCATAATTACAGTATAACCCCACACCCTGACTAAGGGCGCAAGACCAGCTCTGCCACACCTCCCCGCTTCAGAATGCTTATCACGCCTCGTCCAGTATGGTCAGGCCGGTCTGCGTGTCGGCCCGTATCAAGTGCTTCCGCAACGAATCGAGGCCCAAACCAGAAGGACGCCAAACCCAGTCCCTGCAAACAAGTGTAGCCCTTATAGTATTATAGCCTTTTGTAATATTTACAATTTACAATTTACAAGTGACAAATTTACAATGTAGCCGTAGCCTTATGCCGTAGGCGTAGCCGGCGTAGCCGGTATGTCATGTTGAACAGCTCTCTTGTGGGCCCCCAAATCATGTGGAAAAACTCTCTTGTGAGCCCCCAAGTCATGTGGAAAAACTCTCTTGCGAGCCCCCCAAGATCTGTGGAAAAACTCTCTTGTGAGCCCCCAAATCTGTGGAAAACCTCTCTTGTGATCCCCCAAAATTTGTGGAAAAGCTCTCTTGTGAGCCCCCAAGTCATGTAGAAAAACTCTCTTGTGATCCCCCAAACATTTGTGGAAAAGCTCTCTGGTGAGCCCCCAAGTCATGTGGAAAAACTCTCTGGTGATCCCCGAAGTTACCGGACATGTTCCCCAGCGTTGATGAAGTTTAGATTGGGTGCCCAGACGTGGTTGGGGAACCCCCCAAGTTTAGGGTCTACCAAGCTTTTGCCCGCGCAAAGGCCAGCAAGGAGGGAAGCGTATGCACCCTCAACCCTCAACCCTAAATCCTATAAACCCTACTCTGAGCCCTCAACCCTAAACCCCCTAATTCTTAGTAGGGAATGAGGGAATGAGGGCCCTATAGAATCCCTTAAAGGGTATCTATAGGGCCCTCATTCCCGCATTCCCTACTAAGAACCAGCCAGCAAACCGAATAATTTAGCTTCAAGCGGCGTGGCCACGACACGCAGCGTAAGCGAGACCTCAGCGGCGAAGAGTACCCCATCTTCAACCCAACATCACAGGAAGCTGGCTTTCGAACTACAAAGTTTAGGGTTTAGGGTTTAGGGTTTAGAGTTTAGGGTTAAGGGTGGACCCTTACTTGTACTTTCATTTCCGACAAATTGAAGTCTATAAATCAATCACACCCAAGGCATGGTCTAAACTCAGGGACCCCATCTACTTGTGATATTGCACTCGCCAGAATGTTAGTTAACAATCTTTACCCCGAAAACAGAAACTGGTCGTCAACGACCCCTTCTTCTATTTTTTTGGGGTACCGTACCCAAAAGGAATTCTTTTTCAAGAAGCGACCATATGGCGGTTTCCGAAATTCGGGGTGCCTTATTGGGGTCCTGATTATGCGGGAATCCCACGATTGAAGGGTCTCCATTCGGGGTCCCTTATGTTCCTAAACCCTAAACCCTAAACCCTAAACCCTAAATACCCTACAGTACACCCGATGATCGGGAAATATTGATGTGCAGTCTGAGGATGCATGCCCGGCCACACGGACGCCACCGAAGGCGGTCTCATCACTGCGCCGCTGGCCGTCGGGTCTCCTGCTTCCGATAGGCAGGGGACTAAACCCTAAACCCCCCTAAACCCTAAACCCTAAACCCTAAACCCTAAACCCTAAACCCTAAACCCTGAACCCTGAACCCTGAACCTTGGTCCTGTCAGGCATGATCTGGTGCGTGCAGACGCGGTTGGTGTCCAGGCCGAAGGCCAAGGCCGAGTTGTGTGGCAGCACCTGAGGTCAGACGCTGGAGTTCTTCAAGGATCAGGGGTTTAGGATTTAGGGTTTAGAGTTTAGGGGTTTTAAGGATCATAGGCTTGCCATTTGAGGGGCATTTCAACCCGAAACCCTAAACTCTAAACCCTGAACCTCTAAACCCCTAAACCCTAAACTTTAAACCCTAAGCCCTGAACCCCTAACTCTGGCCCCTGAACCCTAAAATCCTGAAGGGGTTTCAGGGGGCTTTCAGGGATTTCGAGGGTTTAGAATACATCTCCCTACCTCAAGACTTAAATATCCTTTCACTAGGAAAAAGAGTTTCGGGTTGAGAGCTTAGGGCTGCAATCATATTGGGATCCCTACTTGATGGATCAGGGGACTTAGCAAGTGGGGTTATAAGTAGGGTAACTATACTTCTAATTACTTACCCTACTAAGTACCCGGATCATCCAAGTTTGGGGCTTAGGATATAGGGCATCCCGCGTAAACCCCAAACCCGAAAGAGGTGATAGGGAAAGGGGCACCTATCTCTGACCCTTTAAGGGATTCCATAGGGGACGCCTCGATTCCCTAAGACCCTCAGCAACCGTGGAATCAAAAGGGCTCATCATCATCGACTGCACTGACAGAGCCCGAATCATTTGCAACAAAACCGAGCGTAATGGTTTCACCAACCGAGGAAGCAAAAGGGCTCCCGTTTTGGCATCGGGTCGGGGGGGGGGGGGGGGGGGGGGGGGGGGGGGGGGGGTGGGGGTTCTGTAAGGAACCTATTCAAATCTCGAACTACCCTGAAATCCCTGAAACCGAACATCCCTAAACCCGAAAACCTGTAAACCCGAGAGCTCTATGACCCTACACTCCCTATGACCCCGAATGGCAACGATCAAAGCTCCTCGTAGGATGCTTGAGTGCGTCTAGGGTTTAGGGGTTTAGGTTGCAATATACCTGGCCCAAAAAGACCGATGAGGAAGGTTCCCGCTGCAGTGTGAGGACTCCCTTTTTGGCTTTAGGGTTTCGGGATTAGGGCTTAGGGATTGGAGTTTAGGGCTTAGGGTTCAGGGCTTAGGGATTCGGGATGCGAAGGGCTTATAGCGGTATAGGACTCATGCGGTGTGTATGGTTTTGGGGTCAGTGCCTTGGGTGGCGAGTCATGACTCATTCTTCGCGGATGCGATAGACCCATTAGCCCTAAACCCCCGAAAGCTTGGGGTCCTTCAATAGGCTCTATAAGCCTCTCAGCCCCAACGAGCTTTACCTAAAAGGCTCTGACATTTCTTTAAATCAAAATGCACAAGCCATGTAAATGCCCTATTCAAGCCCAAACCCCACACGCCACACCCTAAACGCCAAACCCTAAACCCTGTATCTCAAACCCAAGACTGGTGGAGACTTCAGCCCAGCCAGTCCTTTCTTGAATATTTCTAAACACTCGCCCAACAAATGGGAATAACCAGGCATCCTTGAACTGTTCCTGAACTGAAACCCTAAACCCTAAACCCTAAACCCAAAGCCCAAAGCCCAAAGCCCAAAGCCCAAAGCCCAAAGCCCAAAGCCCAAAGCCCAAAGCCCAAAGCCCAAAGCCCAAAGCCCAAAGCCCAAAGCCCAAAGCCCAAAGCCCAAAACCCTTGCCCCTAAACCCTAATTAAACCCTAAAGCCTAAACCCTAAACCCTAAGCCCAAAAGTTCTCCGATAAGGGGCCACACTCTGGCGAAGAGCCGCCCAGGTCCCACAGGTCACCTTGCAGGCTTCAACTCTTGCTGGTTCTTCGTAGGATGAAAGGAATGGAGGGTTTAGGGTTTAGGGTTTAGGGTTTAGGGTTTAGGGTGTAGGGTGTAGGGTTTAGGGTTTAGGGTTCAGGGTTTAGGGTTGAAGGAATTCAGGAAGCTAGAAGGGTTGAGGGTTTGGGGCAAGCCTCAAACTCTCAGCCGCCAAACAAAGTCTAAACCCTTACAAACCCCTGAGCCCCAAACCTCAAACCCTAAACAGAAAACCCTAAACCCTAAACCCTAACCCTAAACCCAAAACCCTAAACCCTCAACCCTACACCCCTAAACCCCAAACCCTAAACCCCTAAACTCTGAACCCTACACGTGTGGCCTTCTCCTTCGATCGGATCAGGAACTCCTTGGCATGGGACTTAGGATTTAGGGGTTTAGGGTTTTAGGGTTTTAGGGGTTTAGGGGTTTAGGGTTAAGGGTTTGACTTAGGTTTAGGGGTCTATCGGGGCTCACATGGCTCCTAGGGTACAGGGCTTATACCCCCGCATAGTTTTGGAACCTCCTTACAGGTGCATGGGGTCAGGGTTTGCCGTACAGGGTTTTAGGGTTCAAAAGTTTAACAGTGACCTTCAGGGACATACTTGACGAGATCCACTCCTCTAGACCCCCCTTCAGCACCCCTAAAGCCTCAAGCCTAAGAAAAGCCTGAGCCCTTAACGTGGACACCCTGCACCCCCACCGTGCAACCGAGCATCGCGCGATGCACCGAGACTGACATTCAGAATAGGCGTGCCGTGCCTGAATGAAGCAAAACGCTTCTGCACGGGGGCTTAGGGTGCCGGGTTCCCAACTTTGTATCTACTGCAATACCATTCAGAAACCCTAAAACCCTAAAACCCTAAAACCCTAAAACCCTAACACCCCTAAAATCCCTAAAACCCTGAAACCCTAAAACCCTACAACCCTAACACCCTACAACCCTAAAACCCTAAAACAAACCACCCTGCACCCCAAGGCTTGATCTTGGGTTGTATTGAGGAGGGATTTTAGGGTTTAGGGGGGTGAGGGTTTAGGGTAGGTGTGTGGGGGTTTTGAACGGCCTTCAGTCGAAAATCCGAGGCCTGGAGTTTTGAATGGAAGTGGCCCTTTGCAGATGTTCAGACTGGGGAGGGGCGGAGGAGGGGGCTTTTTAGGGTGTTTATAGTTCTTAGGGCTCTAGGGTTTTTGAGGTTTATATGACTTTTCGTGATTTTTCTGGGGTTCAGGGTTTAGGGGATTGGGGTTTAGGGCTGAGGCGGCTTCGGGGCTTTGCGGCCGAGGGAGTATGGTACAAGCTCTTGCTGGCAGAATTTCCCGAGGATACAGGTTTGGTAACCTAAGGTAACCCTAAACCCTAAACCGCCTAAACCCTAAACCCTTAACCCTAAACCCTAACCCAAGAAGGTTACTGATGTGCTAGCCAGGATGTGGCTGACCTCCAAACCTGCAAGCCCGCTGTAACCACAGCTTACAACCGTACAACCCTCGCACCAATGGCAAACAAGATCTCGTTGAGTAACCCAAAACCCCAAACCCTGAACCCCTAAACCCTAAACCCTAAACCCTAAACCCTAAAACCCTAAACCTTAAACCCCAAACCGCAGCTCCCACCCTCCACATCTTGGTGAATCGCCAACGGTCTTCATGTGAAGGCTGCTTCAGAGTTCATGCAACCTACGATCACCTTGAATTATTGAATACGCGTCGGTCCAGAAAAAACCTAATCCCCAAACCCTGCAATCGTGTGTATGTCACATTGATATGCTGCATGATGGGGTGTGAGTACTTTAGGGTCTCCAGTTGAGAGGCGCGATGTCCAGAGTCTTGTCGGAATGCACGTTGATGCTGTCGTCCCCAGAGCCTCGGTTTGCTCCCTGCTGCACCCTAAACCCTAACCCCAAACGCTAACCCCAAATTCTAAACCCTAAACCCTAAACCCTCCCCCCCGAAAACTAAAAAAACATAGCACACAAGCTCACATGTAGGGTCGATCGAAGTTTCGGGCCTTGTGTCTCCAGTATCACAAGTACAACCCTTCTGATTTAGGGTTGACCGTAAACCCACAACCCGAAAGGCTTCAGGCTTTAGGTTTAGGACTTAGGGTTTAGGGTTTCGGGCTTATCATACCGTCAGCTGAAGATTCAGGGTAGATTCAGCAGGTGGTGGGCAGTTTTTTTCTCGACAGGCGCTTGAGGTTAAAAACGAGTGTGAACTGCCGTATACCCTGAAAGCCTAAAATGCATAACCCAACCCCATTTAACCCCCTAATACTTTAGTCGTGCAGCTACCTGTTCTGTATCCTAAAACCCTTGAACCCAAAGAGCGTATAAAACCAAAAGCCTAAACCCTAAACCCTAAACCCCAAACCCTAAACCCTAAACCCTAAACCCTAAACCCTAAACCCTAAACCCTAAACCCTAAACCCTAAACCCTAAACCCGAAACAAACGGCCAATCACCTCCAGCCACACTTTGATGCCAACTCGGCTCACTGCCGGGGAGCGATAGAGCTGGATGAGGGCGTGGTTGAAAGGGACACCAAATTGAGCACGGGCTGCTTCAACCACCTAAGGTTAGGGTTTATAAGGCTTAGGTTCAGGGCTGAAAGCTTGCAGAGGAGGTGGGCGATTGTGGGCGCGATGGCTGCCACGGGAAGAATTGGTTGAAGGACTTGAGTCCTAAACCCTAACCCCTCAGATGAACCCAACATTCACGACTCATCCCACAAGACAACACTTACACCGTGACCTATTTCCTTTAGGGTTTCGGCTAAACTGAAGTCAGTCGCCTACTTCCAAAAAAAAACTTCGTCCGTCCAGTGGGTGGTGCCGATGGTAGGTTCCAGCGGTCCGTCCCGAAGCCCTCATCCCTAACCCTAACAACCTCAAACCTAAGCAAACACAAACCCTATGGAATCCAAAGTTGGCTCAAGTGTGCAAACACGAATGATAAACCTGCACTATACACCTCAAACTGGAAAGGCTCCCAAGTTGGCTCAGGTGTGCTCTCTGCACCGTGGGCCCCTACTATATATAATATATACCTATAGGGGTACCTAAGTAGCCCCCAAATAACCCCTAAATAACCCCTAAGGTCCCTTACAAGGGTCCCTCCTTGTGTCCCTTAATCCAAAGTTGGCTCAAACCCTAAACCCTAAACCCTAAACCCTAAACCCTAAACCCTAAACCCTAAACCCTAAACCCTAAACCCTAAACCCTAAACCCTAAAGTTGGCTCCAGTGTGCTCTCTGCACCGTGGGCGTGAACTCGAAGATCGGCGGCTGCTCGTCCACTGGGTGCCGGTAGACGGGCATGGAGCCATCCTCCCGCGGGCGCGCGCCCGCGCAGGAAGACCGGGAAAAGCCAGGGGTGGTTTAGGGTTCAGGGTTCAGGGTTTAGGGCACTCAGAACTATTCTTTGGGTCCAAGTATGGGCCCTCAATTTGGGTCCCTTCTTATACTATATACACCAGACATAATGAGGGCCCATACTTCGGAAGCGCTACAAGTAGGCGGAGGTTCATGAGACTTGCTTAGGGTTTAGGGTTTAGGGTTTAGGGTTTAGGGTTTAGGGTTTAGGGTTTAGGGTTTAGGGTTTAGGGTTTAGGGTTTAGGGTTGAGGGTTGAGGGTTGAGGGTTTAGGGTTTAGGGTTTAGGGTTTAGGCCCAACTATAAGTATAACTGCACTTTCACCCAATTGCAGGGCACGTAGGGGGCTTTATCAGCGGTTGGAAGTGCAGTAAGAACTGGCTTGTAAGCACCATGAACCCAGGCCAAGGGTTTCGAGACGGGGGATGAAGCTTGCTTACTTCGTCTTGAAAGTTTAGGGTTTCGGGTCACAACAGGTGGAACACAGCTCCTCCGACGTCGGATTTGGGCTTATGTTAACCTTCAAATCAGAACAACAATTTCGATTGTGCGATCCTCCTGCCGCTCGCCCTGGATGCACACCAGGCGTGGCACTGGCATTCCGTAGTATTCCATCCTCGGGACGAAGGGGCGAAGAAAAGGAACAGCCCAGATCTACTTTTATCCCAAAACCCGAAAAGTTATGGCCATAATGGGACAGAATTCTGGGTACTTTGGGGCTTTCGTTCCAAGCACGCAGCCCGGGTTTAACGTTTGGGCTGGGCCGGCTTTGGGTTTAGAGGGAGAGGGTTTATATATATATATATATATTATTATTATTATTATTTGTTTTATTTATTTACATCGATATATGGGGTTTCGGGTTTAGTATTTACGGTTTAGGGTGTGGGCCCGAATACGCCATAAGCCAAGGCAAAGCCCCTGTTCGGACTCTTTAGAATACTGTTCTTGTGTAGGAACTTAAAAACACAAAGCTGCCGTGAAAAGGGTACTTTAGCAAAGTCCAGCGCTAAGACGGTAGCACGCAGGTAAGTGGCACAACAAGAAGCCAGTTTACTCAGGAGAGATCAGGGACACATCGCATACAACCTAAGATGGCTACATCTCTGAACCTATCTGCGGGGCCTTGTGCAACACAAGACCCTGCGACTCTATAGATTTAGGGTTTAGGGTTTAGGGTTTAGGGTTTAGGGTTTAGGGTTTAGGGTTTAGGGTTTCCTTCTACATGGAGAGGTCCCAACAGAAGCATCGTGCGTCGAGGGCGCTTTTGCCATTGGATCTCGTCATCTGGGCGAACATCGAAGTCGGCCTCAAGAAGCAGTCCGGGTGCGGTTTAGGGTTTAGAGTTTAGGGTTTAGGGTTTAGGGTTTAGGGTTTAGGGTTTAGGGTTTAGGGTTTAGGGGTTAGGGGCAGCGCCGAACATTCAAGTCTTTTCTGAGAGTTGAGAGTAGGATCTGTTAAAGGGTTGCAAAGGGTTTAGGATGTAGGCTTCGTGTTTTGAAACAGGATCCAAAAAACAGCACAGGGTCTATGATCCTATCAAAAGGCCCTCAAGAGGGACGTTCATGATCCATTTAGAGCAATCCGGGATTACCAGAACATCCCAACCAATTTATATTGTGCCCTACTTGGAGGTTCTTCATGGTATTACGATAACCCTATTAGAACTGGTGCTAGATACGTTCTAGGTACAGTTACAACTGGGTGATGAATTACCATGAACCTCCAAAGTATAGCCCCTAGATATAGCCTAAGCCCTAAGCCCTTAACCCGAAACCCCAAAGCCTAAACCCCTAAACCCCTAAACCCCTAACCCCTGAACCCTCAAACCCTAAACCCCTACACCCCTAAACCCCAAAACCCCAAAACCCCTAAACCCCCAAACCCTAAACCCCTAAACCCTAAACCCTAAACCCTAAACGAGGCTTCTGCACTGCTGGCTTGCAAGCCACGTGGCGCTTGGCACCAAAGCAGCCAAAAGGTCGGCGGCTGCGTCGGTTGGGAGGAAGTCCTCTTCGCAAAGATTTTTTAGGGCTCAAGGTTTATAGGGTTTAGGGTTTAGGGTTTAGGGTTTGGGGTTTGGGGTTTAGGGTTTGGGGTTTAGGGTTTGGGGTTTGGGGTTTCGGGTTTGGGGTTTGGGGTTTGGGGTTTGGGGTTTGGGGTTTAGGGTTTTTAGGGTTCAAGGTTTAGCCCAAGTACCCTCAGCCCCTTCGTGTAGATGCTCTAAGCCCTGTGAAACCAGCTCTGAACTGCTGAGGTGCCGCCACCACTGCTTGGGGCCTAGCAAGGCTCTGGGCGGGTTTAGGGTTTAGGGTTTAGGGTTTAGGGTTTAGGGTTTAGGGTTTAGGGTTTAGGGTTTAGGGTTCATGGTTTATGGTTTAGGGTTTAGGGCTGCAGCTACTGATCCCCCCCAAAGCCTGTATCCCACCAAGGAAACGCCCGGCCTAAAGCACGCGCACCATTAAGCCCTCAACCCTGAACCCCGGCACCCCTGCACGAAAACGCTAAACCCGACCCTGGCACCTAAGCCCTAAGGAGCCACAATACCCCAAGACCCTGAGCCCTATAACCTCGAATACCCCCAAAAACACGGATACCCTAAGACCTCCATCCTAGAGCCCTATAAAGGCCCCGTCTCCCCCAAAACGCCCGAAACACCCGGAAACACCTCATGAAGCTTGGTAGCCCCAGTAGCCATATCATAAGGCCACCCCTTTTTTTAAGTTGGTTACTTTATAAGGGAGGCCAGAACCAAGAAAGAGTTGAGGGTACCACTGGGCTACCAAGAAACCAGACCCTAACTACTCGCTGGAGGGAAGCCGCCGACGTCGGCCAAATACGCCAAAGCCCTCATAAACCCCGGCCTGGAAAAATCTGAAGCCCTAAACGCTGGCACCCCACAACCTAGTACCCTAAAATACCGTGTGAACCCTACCTCATGAACCCCAAACCTACTCTATTTTAGTAGGCTAGTACTAACAAACAAAACCTTGTAGGATTCTTAGGTAACCCACAAACAAAAAAAGGGCAGGTGCTGGGCTCTCCTAGTTGTCCAGTACCCTAGGGAACTAAAGGTTAACCTTTGGGATTATATAGGGATTCGAATACCCCAAAAAGGTTGATTGTTACCTACCCTGCTTTGGAAAAGACCCTGGAAAAAGTATATACTTTGAGGTGTAAGTAGTTATAATAGGAACCCAGAACCAACAAAAAGCATTAAAGTATAGTACTCCAAAACCCAGCCTACTCTACTAATGAGTTCTTAAGGTATAGGGTTCTTAAGGGAGGCCCGGCCCTAAAACCTAAACCCTAAACCCTAAACCCTAGACCCTATACCCTACACCCTGAACCATCCCTTAAGAACCCTCTAATTGAGGTATAGACATCCGACATGGCTCCAGCAGCAGGCTCGTATCGCCGGTCCCCAGTCCGTCAATGCGCCGCTCCTACAGGGAGGTGGGGTTTAGGGTTTAGGGTTTGCAGAGGTTCCGGCAAACCAGCTGGGAGAGAATCAGTTTGAACGCAAGATACGGAATATAGTAAGTGGCAGCGACACTGGGAAGAACTAAGGCCATGTGCAGCGGCAAAGCCAGTTTCAGTTTCTTTGTTTCCTGCTAGGCTGGGGCATCTGACAATGAGACGATGGCGGTGGCTGCGTCTTAGCCGAATGCGAAGGATAAGTACACGATGACTTAGCAGTTTCAGAGAGGGAAATTGCATGATGTTGGCCCTGTATAGGGGTTCGCTTAAGGGGAACCTTTAGGGGTACAACCTTAGGGGTGCGAGTCTTAGTCCCTTGAATGTGAAGTCAACAGCCCATTTAGCTCCAGTGTTGTGTCGCCTCTACACAACCCTCACCCTCAACCCACAACCCCGAACCCTAAACTCCAACCCGAAACCGTAAGCCCCAAAACCCTAAGTTTGAGATGTGGGAGGTAAAAGCCCACAACCCTAGATGCTGCACCCCTAAGAAACCAATGTCAGTGGTGCCTTAAGAGGGTTCCTATACCATAGGGGCACATGAACCCTAAACCAAGCCTAAACCCTAAACCCTAAACCCTGAACCCCAGGGATCCCCTTAACAAAAGTCATCCTTCATCTTCGCATAGGTCTTGGGATGTAGCTTCTTCTCCTCTTTCCCCCCAACGAGAGGTTTCTGGCTCTCCCCGGCATGCTGAACCCTATAAATCCTATACTAGACCCGGGAGTAACCTAGGAATAAAAAGGGTTTAGGGTTTAGGGTTTAGGGTTTCGGATTTAAGGGAACCCCAACCTACTCCCGGTCCTAGTATAAATGAGGGTTTAGGGTGGAGGGGGTTGAGGGTTTAGGGCTCGCCTAGGGTTTAGGGTTTAGGGTTTAGGGTTTAGGGTTTGGGGTTTAGGGGTTTAGGGGTTTAGGGTTTAGGGTTTAGGGTTTAGGGTTTAGGGTTTCAATGTTGACTATAAACCCCATAAACCTCTATGCAAACTCTATCAACATTATTACCCCCTATAAGCCCTCAACCCCGAGCAGAGGTTAGAATTATATTCGCTGTTTTGGGAGAAAGTTTGAATCTTCGCAGTTTCAGTCTTGACACCCTACTATGGCCTTGCGAGTAAATCGTGCCGCCGCAATTTTAACCACAAAAAGCTGAAGACCTGACCCCCTAAACCCTCTAGACCCTCTAAACCCCCTAAACACTCGACCCTATAACCCTCCCCCCCCTCGCCCCAGCAAAAAAGTCGGCAACAACAAACTCTGGCAGCACCAGGCAACAGGGCTTCTTACACAAAGGGCCCGCCCAATTCCATGTGGTTTGGGGTTTAGGCTTAGGGTTTGGGTTCAGTGTTTGGGATTCAAGGTTCAGGGAGACCCCTTTGCTAAGCCAAGTGCTCCTCAACCAGAAGTTTCGACCCCCCCCCCCCCTGAACCCGACCCGTCGAATCAATCATGGGGGAGGAGTTCTTCTTGGGGAGGCCAACATTGAAACCCTAAACTCTAAACCCCAAAACCTAGATTCTGAAACCCTAAACCCTAAGCCCTAAGCCCTAAACCCCACGTAAGCCCTAACCCCTGAACCCTGAGCCCTAAACCCGAACCCCCGGCTTAGGGTTTAGGGTTTAGGGTTTAGGGTTTAGGGTTTAGGGTTTTCCCCACAAGCCTCCCACAAAGCAAAACCCGGACCTTCGGCTTGGGTGCCTCGCGCAGGCGGCGCGGCATGGTCTTCCCAACGGAGCTTGTGCGCGCTCGTGGGTGCTTTGTGGCTGCGGCGTTTTGGGGTTTAAGGTTGTTGGGGTTTAGGGTTTAGGGTTGTTGGGGTTTAGGGCTTATAGGGTTTAGGGTTTAGGGTTTAGGGTTTAGGGTTTAGGGTTTAGGGTTTAGGGTTTAGGGTTTAGGGTTTAGGGTTTAGGGTTGTTGGGGTTTAGGGTTTAGGGTTTAGGGTTTAGGGTTTAGGGTTGTTGGAGTTTATGGTTTAGGGATGATTAGGGTTGAGGGCGTAGGTGGTCCAGAAAGGGAAGGTCACTCTACGCTGGCGCACCCTGAAAACCCTCGACCCGAAACCCTCTACACGCTAGAACACCAGGTCATTCCCCTCCATGCCAATGGTTAGGGTTTGGGGTTCAGTGTTCAGGGCTTAGGGTCTCAACATGTGGCGGTTGAAACCGATCTAAGACCCATCAACCCAACCACGCGGACCGAACTACAAGTGCCCAATCCATCTAGCAACCAGATGGCCTGCAAGCCCACCCCCCCCCCCCCCAAGAAAATGAACAAAGTATAACAATAAACAAAACAGTTAATAATATAATATGTAATATTAATAAACGATGAAGGCACATTAAACCCTGAACCATCATGCCCTCAACACCTAAAACCTCTACACCCTCAAGCCCAAACCATAATCCTCGCAAACCGTATTATGGACCCCTATAGCCCCCCTTGATAGCCGAGCAACCATATTCCAATAAGGGCACCCTTTTTGGGGTTGATTACCTTATAACGGGACCTTGAACCAAAAAAGGTGACAAGGGTACCGCTGGGCTACCAAGTACTACAGACTCCTAAACGCCGAACGAGACCGCGGGCCTTGCGAAGATCGCTTCTTGCTTGGGCCTTTTGGTCGCGATGGCTGGGGACGGGCTTTCCACCTGAGCTGGCAGCGCGCCCCGAAGCCTGAAACTTTAAGGGGCTTTTGGAATCTGGGGTTTAGGGCTTAGGTTTGGGAATACAGGGTTTAGGGTTCTTTTGGGGGCCTTAGGAATTTAGAGTTTAGGGTTTAGGCATCTAGGGTTTAGGGTCTTAGAATCTATATAAGATATTTGTAGTTTGCAAGGTATACAGGGCTTTTGTATAGCTCTCAGGGCTTGAAAGGTTCTTGATACTTCGCAGGGTTGGGCTTTTTGGGGGTGCAGGGCTTCAGGATTTTTAGGGGTTTAAGCAATGCTGCTTTGAGGAGCCTTCCCAGTTTCAGGGTTCAAGGTTTGAGGCTTCAGGTTGCACGATTTGGGGTTTAGGGTTTAGGGTTTAGGGCAACCACGCCACCAAAGGCCAGCAGCGGGAGCAGGTGCAGAATTGGATTCATAGGGTTTGTAGGGTCTAGGGTTCGAGGGTTTAGGGTTTCGAGCTAAAAGGGCCTCAACCCTAAACCCTAAACCCTAAACCCCAAACCCTAAACCCTAAACCCTAAACCCCAAAAGCCTCCATGGAGCTGAGGGTGTGGCAGCAGCTGCAGCGGCCGTGCTCCTGCGCATACGTCACTTCCCTAGAAGGCTATTCCCTCTAAGGTTTAGGGTTTAGGGTTTAGGGTTTAGGGTTTAGGGTTTAGGGTTTAGGGTTTAGGGTTTAGGGTTTAGGGTTTAGGGTTTAGGGTTCCCTACAAGGCTATTCCCTCTGAGGTTTAGGGTTTAGGGCAATCACAGTTGCAACTTGGGATGTTCCCCGTTACACTCACGGCCCTTAATACAAATTATAGTACAACTATAGTCCCCATTAAGGACTGTTCGTAGAAGGGGGAACATCCCAAATTAGGAGCCCTAAACCCTAAACCCTAAACCCTAAACCCTAAACCCTAAACCCTAAACCCTAAATCAACAAATTGAAGGAATCTTCCCTACTTCGCCTCGGCCGGGGCGTCTCATAGGGATCCCGTAGGGTTTAGGGTTTAGGGTTTAGGGTATAGGGTTCAGGGTTCAGGGTTCACCCACGTCGTCCGGTTGCCAGTATGGTCAGACACCGACCCGGTAGCCACTGAGGATAGACACCGCCCCATAACTCTGGAACCGGTTCCGTTCCAACACCTTTTTAACTACTAATAAGGGTATCATAGAAATATCAAGTTTGTTTTGTACCAAGATGACAGGCTTAGGGGCTGGGTTTAGGGTTTAGGGTTTAGGGTTTAGGGTTTAGGGTTTAGGGTTTAGGGTTTAGGGTTTAGGGTTTAGGGTTTAGGGTTTAGGGTTTAGGGTTTAGGGTTTAGGGTTTAGGGTTTAGGGTTTAGGGTTTAGGGTTTATAAGGGTTTAGGGTGTAATGTTGGACCTTGTTTAGTAGGGGCCGCCTCTTTAAAGTCAATCTGGCCGATTTATTCAGGATCCCCTGACTGTTTGCGGGTGCCTCTTTAAAGTCAAACGGTTCCCGAATTCCGGCAATTTTTTTAAAGACTTGGGGCTTGTTTCGGCCCGGAGGCTCCGGCTTAAAGCTGGGCCTTATGATTTTAAAGCCGGATGTGATTTTAAAGGCCGACCTCATCCATTCCAACCGGCCCGAAACCATTAATTCCCTTTAAGAAACCATTTGAAAAATTGGTTTTGTTCAATCCGACAAAGGGGGTGGTCCAGGAGCCCCCTTCGGCCCTGAATAATGGCACTGATTTGGGGTCCTGTTTTATGTCAAGGCCCCGGGCCGGAGGCTCCGAATTTGGATGCCTTGGTCTCTTGGCTTCAAGCCGGGCCTTATGATGTTACAGCCGGACCTTGTGATTTTAAAGGCCGACCTCATCCATTCCAACTGGCCCGAAACCATTAATTCCCTTTAAGAAACCATTTGAAAAATTGGTTTCGTTCAATCCGACAAGGGGGTGGTCCAGGAGCCCCCTTCGGCCCCGAATAATGGCACTGATTTGGGGTCCTGTTTTATGTCAAGGCCCCGGCCCGGAAGCTCCGAATTTGGATGCCTTGGTCTCTTGGCTTAAAGCCGGGCCTTATGATTTTAAAGCCGGATGTGATTTTAAAGGCCGACCTCATCCATTCCAACTGGCCCGAAACCATTAATTCCCTTTAAGAAACCATTTGAAAAATTGGTTTCGTTCAATCCGACAAGGGGGTGGTCCAGGAGCCCCCCTCGGCCCCGAATCGTGGCACTGCTTTGGGGTCTGTTTTATGTCAAGGCCTCGGCTCGGAGGCTACGAATTTGGAAAAAGCCTATATATGGATTTCTTTTAAAATTATTTATATAAACTCATCCCGGATCCCTTTTCGACTCGCACGCATCCCTTTCAATTATATTAAGCTCATCCCTTTAAATTCATATGGATCCCTTTTAAATCTATCTAAACTCCTCCCTATTAAAATCATATAAACCCCCGGGGCCGTCTAATC